ATATCACAAATTCAAAAAAAAAAAAACAAATTACTAACCCTAAATTATAATTATTAAATAACTGAAACAAATTAAAAATTAGTAGTAAAAGAAACTATCAAAGTGTTGTTCAACAGGTAACAAGCTCTTCAATCTTACAACAAAATTTTAATTAAATTATTAATTAAAAATATAGAAAATATATTAAATAAAATATTTAAAAAATTAAACTATGTAACAACACCAAAAATATTGTCAAATTATAAAAAAACTTAAAACAACAAAAAAAATCTAACCCTAAATCACAAAAAATTTGAAATCCTAAAGCTCCAAAATTATAAAAAACAAAAAAGATGATTTACCAAAATTTGTTAAGTTTCAAGTATAAAAGGAAGATAAAGGATGACTTTAGGGTGAGGGGAGTTGAGAATTGATGGTGGGTGGCTTGAATCTAGTCAAATTATAAGGAATAAAAAGAGGAAGGTAAGGTTGGTTTAAAGTTGGTTTGGGCTTATTTTGGTCAGTTCAAGCTAAGAACGGACGCTAGCAATGGTCTATAGAACGAAAGAGAAGAGAAAGCAAATAAATAAATAAATAAATGAGGAGAGAAAAAAGAGGGAATATGAATTATAAGTCCAATTGGGCTTTAGCGACGGATTTCCATTACTAAAAGCCCTTGTCTACTTTTAGCGAGAAAAATTTTCGTTGCTAAAAATTTCATTGCTAAAAACTATAAAAATCAATTTTATTTTTAAAAATGAAAACTATTTTTTATTTATTATAAAAAAATATTAAAATTTATTTTTTTTTGTTTAATTTTTAGCCATGGACATTTTCATCGCTAATTCCATCGATATTAGTGGAATTAGCGATAAAAATTCAACACTAAAACTATCGTTAATTTAGTGACATTTGTTTTGTTTTAACGTGCAATATTAGTGACGAAAATTAAATCCATCACTAATCGTACACTAATTACCAACGGATTTCTGTCATTATTTCTATAAAGTCCATCACAAAAAGTGAAACCAAACTAAATCTATTTTCGTCAGTAATCCATCGCTAAAAAGGGTTATTAGCAACAAAAATATTCCATCACTAAAGACAAAATTTCTTATAATGATGGTGATTCATATATTTGTATCATGTAAAATACTGAAATTTATATATTTGCATTGTATTTTATATAAAAATTACGTGTTACAATTTATGTCAACACAAAAACACAAAATATTTATATTTTTAGTTTTGTTACACCTATATATAATTATTACTAAAATTTAAATAATGTCACTTTCATGTTCTTTTTCATATTGTATTTGTATTATATTATCATATCGTGCTTTAAATTATAAATTATACTAGTGATCAATAATATTCTATCATAGTATTTATAGATGAACTTTTTACTAATGAATTTAAAGTTGTTTTTGACATTGCTATCTTATTATCATTGACGAACCAAAACATCAAAACCATACTTTTCTAGTGTTTTTTAGTATCAATATTTTCGTGTCTATTGACAAAAGGAATGGAGAAAGAGGGGAGATGAATTCAAAAGATTTACATCAAACGGTCGTAAGGAATTTTAGGATCTATTATTGGTGCTTCTTCTTTACATGTGTACTCTAGAAATATCTTAATTTATTGCGTATAGTAATATGATTGATACATCACAATTACATGTAATAACAATTTAGATTGAATAAGATTCGTTTCAATTTTTTTAATAATGTGTAGAATTATAAATTTTTGAAATTTGATCCAATTTTGAACTAACTTTTTGTATGATCTAATTAGAATTGAATTTTATCAATTTGACTTAGTTCATCGGTTTTTAAATTTAAATTTTTTATTTTTGTATATTTAAATAGACTTAGATATAAAATAATTATTTTTATTTTATAAAATTTAAAATATATAAAAATTAATAAAAATTTAATCTATACTAAATAAAAAATAAATCAAATATTATAATTTAGAATCAAATTTCTTTTCTCACCTCTAATTATAGTGCCTTTGTAGAATGCCATTTCAAATTCTTACATTTCACCCTTTTTTTTACTTAATTTCCTTTCTTGTGGTGGCGTAATTTTTAATAATTCACATTGCAGTGTTCTAATAAATGTTATGGACCTTTAGTCCTGACTTTTGGGTTTTTTTATTTTCCTTTGAAGCCTTCAGATACTTTATGGTCATGGATTTATCTTTGCATCTTAAATAGAGCGATAACTAAAACAGAAATTCAAATTATATGTATTTCAATCATTGCTTTGAAATGCATTTCACTAAGTTTTTATTCTTCTTTCTCCTTCTCTTCATGCCCTATACACTTTGAAACAGAAATTGGGATGAACTTTTTTTTTTAATAAATGAGTTAAAATAGCTTGATAATTCACCTGTCTTAAAAATATATATATTTAATAATATATAAATTGCAAAATTTTATAATTAAAATATTAGAAAATTTTCAATATTAAATATTTTTATTTTTTTATTTTTTATTAAAATCAAATAAAATTACTGTTATTAATATAATATTATCTCGGATTCGATCAAATTAAGTCTGAGCTTAAATAATTATATCTGAAATTTGACTTAATTAAAATTATATCAATATTTAAAATTAAAATATTAAAAGACTTTTAATATTATTTGAAATTTTAGTTAAAATTAAATAAAATATTTTTAATAAAATAATATTTTTTGTGGGTTCAAACTAAGTTCGAATTTAAAAATCATGTTTAAGTTTTAACTTGAGTTGAACTATACTTACGAGTTTAATAGATGGTTATATTTGGTAAACAACCTTTCTTTGCAAATTATCTTCCCCTTTTCAAAAGGAGAAAACAATTTTCAGAATAATATATCATTTTTTGTTGATCAATAAATTATTTTTTATTAATCAATTAATTTTTTATCAAACAAACACTAAAAAATAAATAAATTATTTTTTGAAAGTTATTTTTTACAAAATAAATGAATATATACATCTCATTTGAAATAAAAAATCCATATTTTCCAACAAAAAAAAAGGAAATGATAAACTTTCTCATAAGCATAATACTAATATTCCATCTTATATAAATATATAATATTTATCACATATAATTTGGTTTTTTTTATATTAAGTAATATTTTTCTATGCAATACCAAGCACAATAATTTAAAATCACCAATGATTTATAATACTATACCACATATATGTTAGAAATATTTTTAAAATATTAAAATAATTTGATTAAGTAAAAACTTAATCATAAGAGGAATCATACTCAGCTTTGTAATAACTTAATGAAAATTTTTCATGATCTAAAAGACAAAAAAATTAAATCAAAAGATTGTCCAAAAGAGTAGTCGACTTCCATATCTAAGGAGTTGGACTACCTTAAGCTACCAAAGAGTTTATTGCCATCATGAAGCAGTAGACTACTGTGCTTGTATAAAAAATTAAGTAAAGCCTTATCACTTAAATGTACAAAGGAAACAGTCAATTGCCTTGGATTGGCAATTGATTTCCACAATTGAAAATTTTAAGGAAGTCTACTATTTTTGCATATAGAGTCTTGTAGATGATTAAAAGGTCCAAGGCAATCAACTACTTAAGAGGAAAATTGATTGTCCTCGTGATGAAAACTTTCTAGAATGAGTGGGAAGTCGACTGCTCTATTTTTATGAATCTATTGGATTAAAGATAGAATCGATTACCTTACTAAATGAGTAGATTATCCTTCCCTTTGTGACATTCTAGAAATAAAAAATACAAAAAATAGTTAATTATCCTCTCGAAAAGGTCGATTACTTTGAGTGAAAAGTTATAATTTTAAAAAAAATTGTGAAAAGTGATTTTGTTTTAAATAAAAATATTAATTATTTAAATGACTCATTTTGTCTTTAAATATCCAAAAAGATATCATTTTTTACCAAAGGAAGTAATTTTTAATTGAAATTATACAATCAAAGAATTATAATTATTAGATTCAGTCCCTATAAATAAAGATGGTGTGAGTTCATTCGAAGGATTTTAGACACAAAATTCTTTCTTCTTTCTCCCATTCTTTAATAAATAAGACTTGTCACTTTGAAATTATTTTTGCTTAAATTAATATTAAAAGTCAGATATTTTTTACTCTCATCAAATAGTATTTAATGGTTTAATATCACAAGTGTAAGGCATCATCAAATAAGGTTTTATTGTATCTTAAAAATATTTCTAGTATATTTTTTTTGTATACTATAGTTAGTAGGAATGAAATAAACCTTAGCGAAAGTATCATTTACAACATACTTTGAAACCATTTCATTTGTTTTTTGAAAACTCCACCTTATATTCAAACAAGGCTCGAAAGAAAGACTACAACCAAAGTTACAAATGAAATATCATTATCAATTACACAATTTTTAAAAAGCAAGTCTTAAAACTAACAATATACTAATTTAAGATCACTAGTATAAAAACAAAATATACATATATTCTTTATCAAATGTTCATATAATAAAGCAAAATACTCATATAATTTTAATTTCATATATCTATAAACTATTTTTTACGTCAATAACTTAAGCTAGTTACGAGGGAAAATGCTATAGTTATAACTCTTTTAATTTTGATATAAGGATGAAAATCTTATTTTTAACTCATTTTTTTATCAACAAACTTTTATTTCATATCTATTTTGAAAATTAACAAATGAATAATAGAAGCATAAGGTGTATATATAATTATAATGTAATGTGCATTACCATAAACAATTTTATAAATATATATAATGTACACAAATCATGAGCTTTTTTTTTAATCCTTAATGATTACTAAATAAAGGAAAAAAAAAACACTTTTTTCTTGTCAATTTTTCAACATAGCTTTTTGAGTAATAATTTTTTTATGTATCAACTCTCAATTAATAAAAAAAAATGATAGACCCCTTTTTGTAATTCGCCAAAATCATTCAGAAAAATCTTACAAATTGAAAAAAGAGAGCGCCTCGTTTTTCTTTACCGTTTTTCCATTGAAAATTTAAAGAGATCCGCCAGCCATTGTTTCACATTCTTCCTCTTTCTCAAAGGTTAAAAAAAAAAAAAAAAACCCTAAACCCCTAATTTCTTAGATTTTCTCTCTCTTTCTCTCTTTTGCTTTTGTTTGGCAAAATTGGATTAAAATTCGTTCCTTCATTATTGTCCTTTTTAATTTAAAGAAAAAGATTTCAAAAAATTAACCTTAATTCTAACTTTGGGTCTGAAAAGAATCAAAACAAAGTTAAATTGGATGTCAAAGAAACTTAGAACGGTTAGAATAGTTGAGATTAGTTGTGATTTAATTTCTTTAATCTTTCTTTCAAGTTTGAAATTGTGCTTCTTGATTTTGATTCGTTGAATGCCTTTGCACGCGCCTGGAATCAAGTTTTAGCTGCATATTGCTTTTCTATTAAGTAAATTTGCCTAATATAGGTCTATATTTTTGGTACCTTTTGATTGTTGTTTTTGCCACTTGCTATGCTTGGATACAAAAATAAATGAAGCTTTTGAAGAAATGGAGACCGAAAAATTATGTTAGAATTGGTGTTTGGTTTACTCATTATTCATTTTTTATCCATTGTGCTTTTGGTTTATGGTTACTTATTAGAAAATGAAAACCAAGTAGGAAAAGCAACAATCAGTTGAAGCCTAATTTAAACATAATTATTTCAATAAGATTTGATCTCTTTGTTTGTGATGGTAGTTGGTTATTGGCTGATTAGTTTGCAATTTGCTAATGAGGGGTTTTGTCTTTTGCGGTAATAAGTATGGAAGGTTGGGATGTAATTAACCTTCCTGCATCTAGCAATTCTTTGTCTGGAAGCGAGAGTGGTGAACTTCGTGATTTGGATGATGGACCTCATCAAGTGGATTCTCAACCTAATAATGCTGAGACTAAAGATGGTGAAACGAAAGCTGGGATATCGGATCTGAAAGAAGGTGATATCAGAAATCCCCAGAGCCATTTAATTGTGGAAGTGGAGATAGACAACTCACTTGTTGACGATTCATCTGACATGCAAATAAGTGATGAAATAACTGAAACTGTGAGAGTTGAAGAGAAATTAAATGACTTTAGCTCTGGAGCTCATTCTGAATCATTTACAGTTGAAGAGAAAATGGATGGCTTTTCAGTGCCTAACAAAAAGCGGAGACTGGATGTCAAAAACGGAAGTCCCATCCAGAACCACATGATGGATGGTATTTGTATCCTGCTTCTCAGTTGTTATCCTAAGCTTACTTTCTTGTTTATTCACCAACTCTAGTGCAAGAGCTTTGCTTCTGTAGTCATATGCTCCATAAGCTCAATTCCATATCAACAGAAATAAAACTTTCTCTGCAGCCTATGGAATGATCATTTTTGTTTTCCATAATTCAATGTGCCAGCTGTATCTGGTGTTAAGAGACACTGAATTACATTTGATGACCAGCAACCTTCTGTTCATATTGTGTATAATTTCTTAACAAGGTTAGGGCTGGAGTAAAGGGTTCTTACTTCTGAAAATAATCGAATTAAAAGCTTCATTTTTTAATTCTTTTCTTGAATTTCTGTTTAACAGAAAGGCATAGGATTTCTTAAAATTCAGCATGTTTGGGAACTATTTTGCACTCTTTTCTGTCATGTTTCTTATTGTCATGTCTTTTTACCTTTTTCCAGAGCTAGTAAACAGAAGCTTGATGAACTTTTGCAGAAGTGGTCAGAGTGGCTAGCTGAACATGGTTCTTCATCCCAAGTAAGTCTGGTTAAATTTGCGGTTTGCAATTTTTCTGCCTCCATTCCTCACTAATTAAAGCCTCTGTCTAATTTAGAACTGAGGGTAGAACAAGGATTTACCTTTCTTTCTCTTGCTTTAGCTTCTAATGCCCCATAACCAGATTGTACATTGTTGTTTTTTCCTTGAGGTGTCTTATCCATCAAGTTTTTAGAATCTGTTGGCAATATATGTTTTACTAAACCTACATTTTATACTGAATTAGGTATTGTTATGAACTTATGGAGTTCATTTGGAGTATTCTGTCCCCCTAAGTGTGTTCATTAGCTGGATAGAACTTTTGAATATAATCATAAATCATATCTTCAAAGAGATGGAATATCTGAAACAGTGTCTCCTAATGAAATATCTGTTGGTTATCACTTTATTTGCTTTTTCGTTGTGGAGCTCTTCTTTCTTAAATTTTATTAACCAAAGGAAAAAGAAATTACATTGTTTCACTCAAAAAAGGTACATAAATGCCTATGTGCAATCTGTTTCTGTATTGATAGATGGATGCATGCATGCATATTTGTTTGATTGTGTCTATGTGTGTTTTGATGGATGGATGGGTGTGTCAATATGTATGCATGTAAGTGAATATACACAGATGCATGCATAGACAGATGGATTGATACGATATATGCACATGTGGACACATAAGCACTGATGTGCATGCATCTGGGCCTTGTATTATTATATAGTTCAGTTATTTTATCTTGACATTAATGTGCAACTGAATGTAATTCAATCTATTCAGGATCAAAATGATCTTATAGATTCAGGAGAAGAGACTTATTTTCCTGCTCTACGTGTTGGTGCAGAGAAGCCCTCTGCTGTGGTAAGCTTGTTTCTGGTCTTCTAGACATCTAGTGTTTTGGACCGATGTATGTATTTATATTTTTGTAATTGGAATAGTTTTTATTAGATGTATAGTTTTTAACCTTTTGATATTTTTTTCTTCAATGTCATGAGCAATCTGTTATCAAACACCCGTCTGAATTATCAAATACGAAATAGAAATTATAGCTAGGAAGTCTTTTCTTGGCAATCAAGTCTGTTAAAATTGTCCATAAAAAAAATTCTGTTAGGTTGGTCGATGTAACTATAACCATGATGCAGCTTCATGGCTCTCCTACTTCCATGTTTGCCCGGCCGCCTTAAATGTTCTGTGTTTTCTTAACTATTTGGGTTATATCTTGTAGAGGCCTAGAGATAAAAGACAATGCTTCCCATCGTTTCAACTGCGGTTCTTACAGTCATTCCCTGAAGCAATGCCCAAAGCCTCGTGATAATGTTGCTGTCAACACTGCTCGAAAGCAGCAATACAAGTCCAAACGTAATCAGAATACTGCTTCTTGCAGTGCAATTCGCTATTATCAGAACTCTCAAGGTGGAAAGTATGATGATCTAAAGCCAGGTGTTCTTGGTGCTGAAACACGACAACTATTAGGCCTTGGGGTAATATGCTCCTTCAATCCCATGATAACTCCCTCCGCCCTGCCCCCTTTGTTTGTAGTATCTTATGATACAACCAAATATTACACGGAAATAATGCAGGAATTCGCGGAATGGGGGTATCCTATAATTATAGTAGATTAATAACAAATTGGTACAAAAAACAGTTGCTTCTTAATCCTAAAATACTTGCACAAATAGCTATCTCAAATAGGAATTGTCTTTATATGATTTCCAACGAAATTATAAAATAAGGATATCGGAAGGAATCTACTGAAATGCTTTAAATGAAATAGGGTTTCCTCGAGAATGAACTCGAGGGAGGTAGAGTAGAAATTAATATGATAAAAAAATTCTGATAAAGTCATCAAAACAAGAAAACAAGATGGGCGAAGATGCTCATCATACACCAGATACGTTTAGGCCTTAAAACTTCAAAGAACCAACGTCCTGTTCCAAGAGTTATTGATTTCATCCTTCTGTTTGAAATTCTTCTTCCAACCCTTTTTCTATATGCTGAGAAAAGGACTTTTAAGGTACATTCAGTTTTGTTTTCTGAAAAACCCCTTATCATATGATTAGCATCTATATAACAGGCATCCCCACTTCACTACTAGATGCCAAGTACATAGGTAACGAGCACATTCCACCTTTATCTTCTGTGCTTATTGGGCATGGATAATTGACTTCTTCTACATAGCTAACAGACACATTCTGCCTTATCTTTTGTGCTTAATGGGCATAAACAATTGACTTATTCAATTTACAAAGCAGAAGGAAATCTAGTCATGTATAAGTTGTTGAAGTCTTATTTGGCCTTAAATAGATGCATAACTAAAGTGAACTAATGATGTTTTATGAAGATTCTGCCAAACGCTGGTGTGGAATAGTGGATATTGAGGTAATCTTCAAAAAGTTGCATAGGCTGGAACTTCCATAATTTTTTTCATTTTCCCTGCATCTGCAAATATCTCTGCCTGAGTATTGATGCGCTGAAAGGTTGCCAGTATTCCTAAAATCGTTGTTGAGTTGTCAAATAAATTGTTCTGTTTCTTTTTATTTTTTTCATGTTTTTCCCTCCCGCACATTTGTCACACAGGAACTCTGCATCTTATGTTTCGGATCTGCTAATTTTGAGGAAAGCAGATGCTTTCTGGCGAAACATTAAGTTATTTTTTTATGCACGCCTTTCCATTTGATTCAGTACTAATCACTGTTTTTAAGTTGTTTCTTTTTTGTGTTAATATATTCATCCCCATGGATAATGATGGAATTGAACTGCCTTTCTTTTGCCCTTAGGAGTTAAAATGCCTTATTTATTTGCTTTCACAGGAGTTTGATCCACCACCTTGGCTTACCAGAATGCGAGAAATTGGTTACCCACTGGGATATCTAGGTAACTAACACATCACATCCATAGAATCTTCAACTTTTATTTATAGTTATTGTGTTGAAGCAAACTTTTATTTATAGTTATTGTGTCGAAGCATTATTGGTAAGTATTCACAATTAGAAGAAATTGCAATCTGCTGTCCATGAATGGCCATGCCATTTGCCCAACTATGTGCTCCATCTTATGTGACAAAAGAGCTATTGGACACATCCATGATGTGGCGTGCCAGTTCCTGGATAACATGTGAGGGGTTGACCGATAAACTATTACCAGTTATTTGTAGCAAATAAATGGAACAATAAATCCAGAGGATTGCATGTCATATGCATCAAGAAAGTAAAAAAAAAAAAAAATAGAAGCAAAGTGTTCCTTTGATGTGGAAAAGACAAGGCAAACTATTCCTATTGAATTCCATGCCACAAATAAAAACTTTCCCTTTTAGCTCTAAAATTTACTGTTTTCTGATCTCAAACACTGTGCTTAGATAGAATCAGCCGATGCTAGTAAGTTTTATTTTGGTACAAAGGAGGCCGTAGTCTGGGGATAGGGGAAAGCATTGTAGGTGCTAGGATTCAAATTCCAAACCTGTTGGATGCTATCTGTTAAGGATAGTTACATGAACCAACTGAGCTAAGCTTTGGATTTATATGCCAGTTAGTTTTAATTGTTTGTATTAACAGCTTAAACATTGACCAGATATAACTTGTCTGTTTTCATTCTCTCATACTATTTTCAAATTGACTATTGTCAACCATGTGCAGCACCCGATGATGAGGATCAGCCATCAGGAATTACAATATATGCTGATGGAGAAACCAACGAAGGATGGGGAGATGGGGAAATTGCTGAGATGGTGCATCCTGAACGACAGATGAAAATGACTGTAGAATTTCCAGGAATAAATGCACCAATCCCTGTAGAGGCAGATGAAAAACTTTGGTCTCCTGGTCCTTCAAGTTCTGAATCATCTAGGAATAGGTTACACAATAGATTAAACCATTCTTCTGAACCTGGCAGCAGAGAGCTTCATCATGAGCAAAGGTATTTTGGCGACTTTAAAGATGAAGGGCCTCCAGGGGTTGACTCTCGATTTAGCTCATCCTATCCCCCAAGGTATGGTAATTATGACTCTCCTTGCAGCTTTCACAGTCAAAGATATCTTATTCCGGGGGTGGGGGGCCTCTAGGGGTTGACTCTCGATTTAGCTTATCCTATCCCTAAGGTATGGTAATTATGATTCTCCTTACAGCTTTCACAGTCGAAGAGATCTTATACCCGGGCCGCTAAGCCCTTCCCAATATTCTGATTGGGGTAGAAGAAGCCCTGTGGTATGTGAAGAATTTGCGAGTCATGGTTCCTATAGTTCTTCACTGTACTCATCAACGGATTGGCGTAATTCACCAAGAATTCATGGCTCAGCCAGATTCCAAAATGAGATTGATGAAAGATGGGATAACAGCTACCCTGACTATTCATCTCGGGTTACTAGTCATCCATCTCACAGCAGGTGATGAATAGCATTGTGTTGTAACTTTTGTTTCTGTCACCTGATTTTATGAGGCCATGACTTCCCATCTTCAACCAAGAGGCTGATTTCCTCTCCACTAAAAGGTGAGGCGCCTTTTCTCTTGGTGCTTCTGGTTTAAAAACATAACTTGTGAAGATTTCTAAACCAGATGATTTATACGTGTGATTTTGTAGCAACAAAAATGTGGGAGGGACATTCTACAATGGCATTTTTTAATACATAAAAGGTCGCAGATTGGGGATAAGAGAAGAGGTTTGTTGAGATTTTATTCTCAAATTTGTTGAATGAAATTATTTAAAGTTAATTGTATGAATTAATTAAATTAAATTTAAGATTGATTATATAAATCAACTGAATTAAATTTCAGTTTCAAATAGAATGATTTAGATATGCCTCAAATGAATTTAAATGGATTCTCATCCTTAGATTTATTCAATGCCTTCTTACATTTTTACTTTATATATGGATTTTCTCTCATGAGGTTTAGAAGGAGGATTTTAAAATTATTTTAAAATGCATCAATTTAAAATATTATCATTTGTAATTTTATTATTTGGATAAATATTTTTTAGGAAAAGTTTTGAATTTTAAAATTTGATGAGGTAAAAAATAATCATAATAGAGAAATAATGATATTAGAGATAGAATAAGAAAAATGTTGACGAAAATATAAAATATTAGTATTATTAGATTTGTAAAAATGTATATATATTAGTATATTACTATTAATATAAAAAATAATTTTCAAATAATTTTTTGTAGTTAAATAAAATAAAAATTGCTTAAAAAGGTAAACATAATAAATATGATATTTTATTTAAAAAATAAAGAATTTTATAAATTTCATCTCTTGAGTTGGAATTTGGAAAGTGGATTTGAACACTATAATTTTTCTTTAAAATTTTAGAAATTTTGACAATTTTAAATATTTATTTTTTTCAAATAAAATAATTTCATTTTACAATTTAAAAAATCTACAAATGAATTCCTTCATAAAATTTTTTCACCCAAAGGTACTCTTAAAATTATTGTTTTGACATTTAGAAAAAAATTAAAAGAAGGCATATCCATTTGGATTTTTAATTCACATTATGTCTTTCAAAGGATTTAATGAATGCAAATCTATATTAGCTAAGGGTTATCTCTCACGTTGCAACATTAATTCCATTAATTCTAATCATTTGTTTTATTATCAAAATTTCTGAATGAATAAAACAAAAAGATTGCGTCTTAATTTAAAAGACATAATAGGTTGAATTAACTTAATGAAAAATTTGGAAACATTAGTAGGTCTTAAATTGAGAATTTAATCAATTTTAAGTGAAAGTTTCATAATTTTAACTATTAGAGTGTTTCCATAAAATTACATTTGATGAACATTTAATATATAATAATATTTAATGTGATAAAAATTTATTAATCTTTAATAATAAATAAAATATTTTTTAATTAAAAGACCACTTAAATTTTTCTTTAACATTTTTGAAAGATTTTTTGGATAGCCTAATTTCAGGTTTTCGAATAAATAAACGAATAAATTTTGAATGAATTTTTATAGTTAGAGTTAAAGAAAATAAAAGTTATTTAAAAAATAAAATAAATGTTGATATTTTATTAAAAAAATTAAATTTCAATTAAGAATTTGAAAAGTAAATCTATTAAAAACAATTATTTTATAAATAGATCTAATAAACTTAAATATGACACTATGATATGATACAAAAATAATATGAAAAAATAAAAAAATAAAATGATTTAAAATTTTAATAAAAAATTATATATGAATTTGATAAAAAAAATTTAAAATATATATTTTATATTTGACGTATTGATTTGAATTTGACATATCAATATTTTATATTTTACACACATTTAACATCACATAAACAAAATAAAGTCATACAAATAATTCCATTATTGAATATAATGCAATAAGAATAGTTTAGAACTAAAAGTAATAACAATTTGAATTAAATCGAATTTTATTCAATTTTTTTTATAATAAATAGAATTATAAATTTTTAAATTTTAATTTTAATCTGAATCGAATTTTTTTACTAGTTTTATTGGTTCAATAAATTATTTTTAAAATTTAAATTTTTAATATATTATTTTAATATATTTAAATAAATTTAGATATAAAATAATTATTTTATTTTATAAAAATTTAAAATATTTATATAAAAGTTAATAAAAATATATAATTTAATTTGATTCAATTTTTGTATTTTTTATTTTTTTATTCAAAATTTTATTCAAACCTATCATATATATATTTAATATTCAAATTTAATTTTAATCAAATAAAAAATTCAATCCAAATTAAACTAAAAATTATAATTTAAAATTAATTTTTATTTTTTTTCTCACTCCCAGACAAAACAAGTAGAATTAACTTATCATTGCATGGAAGGGTGAAAATTAATCTTGGAAGCAGAAATAGTGTCGATGGGCCCATATATTTTGACTCTTTCCAAAATAAATAAAAAGCCCAGATTTGGTCGGTGGCCAATAATTCTCCTATGTGTTGACTTTACCTGACTGGATAACTTAACCTAAAACAGATTTGTTTTCTCTCATAAATCATTCTCTGGACCCACTCACCGACCTTCGATTGCGAAAGTCGAGGAAAGCTAGAGAAAATAAAACTAAAGCACGAAAAAGAGAATAATCAGGTCAACCGCTTCTCTCTCTTTCTCTCTCTCTTTCTTTTTCTTTCCTATTTTTTTCATAATTTTAGGGTTAGGTTTTCTGCTTTTTCGCTTTCCCCATATCGTACCAATTATTAAATTACCCATTCAATTTCCATATAAAACAACACAGGTCTTTGAATTTTTTTTTTTAAGTACTGTATTGTTTTTGTTTTTGCTTTTGCTTTTGTTTTTGTCTTGTTTTGTCTCTGGTTTCTGTTTGTGGATTTTTTATGTGTTTTGTTCTGTTTGTTTTTTGGGGGTTCTGGAAACTCTTGGCACGATGTCGTATTGGCTCTACGGGAAAACGGTGTGAAAAAAGAAGAAAAAGAGAATTGAAGCTGATAAACCCTAAATTGCATTTGGAACCCGGACGAATCGAATTAATTTTGATTAATAATTTATCTAGGGTTTTGTTTGTAAATAATCATATATCAGAGAAAAAAGAAACAAAATTTCAATGGGGTTTATTTGAATTTCGTCGGACCATCAAAATTATCTTTAAGGGTAATTTTGAAATAATGAAGATTATTGTATGTCAAACTAGTCAATTAATTTCTTTATAAATTAAATAATGCTTGTTAAGAGATTTCTTTTTGTTGAAAATTGAGAATTTGAGTAAGCTTTTCGAGGCTCAAGTTTTCGAGTTAAGCTAAGTGTGAGCATGATTCGGTTTGATTCAATTACATTCTAATAAAAATTAAGTAGTATGTGCCATTGCATTGGAGATTATAAATTAGTTCTTGTTGGTCAGCTGAAACTTAATGATTTGCAGAACTAAGGTTGCTTGAATTTATTATTGTTTAAATGTTTACAGGAGGAGTACATGAACCAGAGGTACCCTCTAGAAGTCTTGCTCTCAGGAAATGTTCTTAATGGAAATCCTAATTCCAACTGTAAGATGATGATGCCGACTTCGGATTTGGCACAAGCACATGCACAAGATGAAACTAATCAATTTGGCTTCATAAAAGGTTAGCTGTCAGCTATGACAAATTGTAACTTTGTTGAATGACCAAATAATTTCCATCTATAATCTGAATGAATATCTGATACTTCGATAGTATTCTTCTCTAGGATTCTTTGGTGATGCACTTAAAGCACAAGCTGCTGCATATACCAGTTCTGATTGGAATAATGCGTCCAACTTTGGTATGGTGCATGTTGGGGGCAAGATGGTTCTTTCTACTGAGTCTGGTATATTGCCTGGTGTGGACTCTGGGATGGCCAGTTCAACTATTTTTCCATGCATGCAGTTTTATAGGCCGTCTGGGGCTGAATCTAAATGTCCTTTCACTGTACAAAATCAATCTTATTGTCCAGTAAATGAACAAACTGCAGGTGGTCTTCCTCGGTTTCCTTTAGAAGAATCACAGACAGATTCCAATGATCTGTTGAAATGGGCTATCCAGCATAAGATTTTACTTGCTTATATCCAGTACAAGAAGTCAGTGGTGTTTATGGGGGATGCTCGATTTTCTTTTGTGAACCATATGCATTCAGCAGTCTGCAGCAAGTATACCTGCAAATGTGAACAATTTTTCTCACTTGCATTGCATTATGATGGCTGTCATGATGCTGATTGTAATATTTGCGGTCCTGTTTGGTATAGCTCTGTCACCAAAAAACTTCACCCTAAGTTTGAACATGTAAAAAGATGTCTGCTAAGAGATTCCGATAATGGAGATTCTGGCCAGCCCGAATGTGGTAGTTCAGAAACCATGCAACCTTCTTTGAAGCGTTTGAAGGTGGAAAACCCTTCTTCTCCCAGCTTGCCTTATAATGGCATGTTTTATGCAACGGCTCCTTTGAAGGTTCAACCATGTTATCCCAAGCTTCCACCCTTGCTGCAATTGCCAGAATCTCCCGTATCTTCTAATTCTGAGGTTATGGAGGGAAAAATCGAGTTGCTACCAAAGCTTACGGAAGATCCTACAAGCACTAATGAGATTGTTAAGGATGTTGCAGATAATTCTCCTATATTGGCTACAAAGAGTTTTCCAGGTCCTTCAGAAGTGGTTGTCTGCAGTAGTAAATTAGAGGAAACAGATGCTGTTGGCAATCATAAAGAAGAGGATATGAACTTCAGAAATGGTAATGATATTGCAGACAATTTAATAGATCACTCTAACAATTTGGAATTCAATACTTGGCCCAGCTTCTCTGAAGGACCTCCAGCTGGTTGTGAAGAGGGAGGAACAGAAGCCAGGGCTAATTCCAACCAGGCTGAGCTAGCTATAGAAAATGAGCTCATTGCACAAGAATCAAGTTGTGGAAAGGAAATAAAGTTGGACAGTCTAAAAATAAGAGGTTTGTCCTTAACTGAAAATTTCACAGCACAGCAAATAAAGGAACATATATCAAGTCTTCGTCAGTGTATTGGTCAGGTTTGTGCTTCATTGTTTATTACTTTTATTTTCCATTTTGTGCTGCCTTAATTGAGTGGATGGATATATCTACTTTATTATCAACTTAAAAATGCTGTTAGAATGCTTTAACTTGAGTAAATATGGATAGAATAGAATTCATGCTATTGAAGGATATACATACTTGCACACATTTAAACATCTCATTGGAGTGAATAATGTGACAAATAGGAGCACAAATAACTTTCTAAGATATGCAGCCACATCTCAACTGAAGTGCACTTTGAACCTGTTATTCAGCATGCATCTAACATCATGCCAATTTTGTCCAAATACTCTGTTGAAGCCCCTGAAATGTTTGAAAATTTCTTTTCCTACAAGTTTGAAACGGATGGGGCAGGGGAATAGTTAGCAGTCATTTTCTGTTATTTAGCTGCCTTAAGGGTGTTGTTGGCATTAAACTTTGTTTTCTTGACATCTCACTGGAACTTGGCCTTTCCTCTTCTTGTTGTTATGGTGGTTTCCCATAATTTTCCATATCACATCACTGCATATATTGTATGCAATGAAGCAGGATTTTTTTAATGTAATCAAACCCTTTACTTTGACAAACCTACATAAGAGTAGCACGAATCTTTTGAATCATTTGGTCTGTTGGTGGTTTTTGTTGTATTAATATTCTTTGGGGTATTTTGTCTTCCTGAAGTTAGCTGTCTATATTATTACTGCTGATGATACCCTTTTTATAAAAGCATAAACTTTGCATTTGTTTGTGAAGTAGCGTTGACATTGTCTTCACTTATTCAAATAGGATATGCAAAAGAAAGAAAGGGGAAATGGAATAGCCAATGTTGACAGCGAGAACTCGTGCCAGTTGTGTGGAGCAGATAAGCTTTCACTTGCCCCAGCACCAATTTATTGTTCATCATGTGGTGGTCGTATCAGACACAATGCAATCTATTACAGCACACCTGAAGAAAATGACATCAGACATTTCCTTTGTACCTCATGCTATAAGGCAACTCGGGCTGAGAGTATCACATCTTCTGGGATTGTTCTTTCCAAGGCAAAGCTGGTTAAAAAGAAGAATGATGAGGAAGTAGAAGAATCGGTAGGCTAATCCATGTTATTTATTATTGTTCATAGTCCTGAAAGTTTGAACTGGTGAAAGACTCACTTTCTATAGTTGTTGTGTTCCTGCAGTGGGTTCAGTGTGATAAATGTGAAGGCTGGCAACACCAGATGTGTGCTCTCTTTAATGATAAAAATGATAAGGAAGGAAAGGCTAAGTTCATCTGCCCGATATGCTGCTTAAGAGAAATTCAAAATGGAGAACGTATGCCCCCACTAGTGAGTACTGTTTTTGGTGCAAAAGATCTCCCACGAACCATGCTTAGTGACCACATAGAGCAAAGACTCTTTAGGAGTCTTCAGAAAGAAAGAGAAAAGAAAGCACGGGTTACAGGAAAGAGCATTTATGAGGTAAGATGACAACTCTTGAGTGTTCTGTTTTATAGCAACATTGTTGGTATGGTAGTGTATTGTGTATGTACAGGTATATTGTTCTTAGTCACTGATCATAACTTAAAATGAAATGCAGAGGAGTTTAATAGTTCATTAGTTAAATGGAATTATGAATGGAAAGATAATGAATCAAGGATTAGCTAGCCATATTATTTAATACATTCAACTAAGCTTAGACTAAGGAATGAACCTTAATAAGAAAAACTATCTAAATCTAAGGTTCAACATGGTTGTAGTTGTTAATATTGGAGGGTGAAATATACATTTTTGTTCAAAAATGAATTTATTTTCATGTAAACCAACAGTTACTATGCATTTCTATTAATTTTTCTTCTTAACTTACCTTTTTGTTTGTGTTTCTTTCCTCAGCACTTTTTGTTTTTATTTTCACCAGTGTGACATTTTCATGTTTGACCATTGCATCTTTTTTATGCTGAACAATGTTAATAGTACTTTTTTTAGCTGTTTCATTGATGGTGTATAATGTTCTATTGTTCACTAGGTTCCTGAAGCAGAAGGCCTTGTTGTCAGAGTGGTGTTATCTGTTGACAAATTTGTAAAGGTGAAGAAGCAGCTTTTAGATATACTTCATGATGAGAATTACCCTGCTGAGTTTCCATACAAGTCAAAGGTAAGATATCTTTTGAAATTACTGAAGTGTTTTGAAGATAATTTGGTATTCCCGAATTTTAACGTGCAGCCCTAACCTTGAGGTTTCTCGATAGAGTGATTTCTACCAGACTTTGACTTAATGAGAACTATGTTTATTTTCCTTTAGCTATCTTTTGTGCCTCTTTTGGCATAAATCTCTAGTTTCATGTCAGCTTTACTAAACCATGATAATTTTTTTCCAATTTCAGGTTATTCTTTTGTTTCAGAAGATTGAAGGGGTAGATGTATGCCTTTTTAGCATGTATGTCCAGGAGTTTGGCTCAGAATGTGGTCAACCAAATCAACGCTGTGTTTATATCTCATATCTTGATTCTGTAAAGTATTTTAGACCTGAGAGGGAAACTGCAGCTGGAGAAGCTCTTCGAACTGTTGTTTATCACGAAATATTGGTATGTTATATCAATTTCTGCTCCACTTATTATGGCTTTTCAAAGCTCCTTGGTTGTTATAGTTGGATCACTGAGATTGTTTCTTGCTTTTCTCTTCTGTTTCAATTATTAGATAGGATACCTTGAATACTGCAAGAAACGGGGGTTTGCAACTTGCTATTTATGGGCCTGTCCACCTCTTAAAGGAGAAGATTATATCTTATATTGCCACCCAGAGATTCAGAAAACACCAAAGTCTGATAAGCTACGGCACTGGTCTCTCTCTCTCTCTCTCACATGTATCTCTGTGTGTGTGTGTGTGTGTGCTGCATTGTGTCTGTCTGTGCATGTGTATCCTTGTTTGAGCATATGTCTTGACTATTAACTGTTATGCAAGTGCAGGTATCAGTCCGTGCTACAAAAAGCTGCCAAAGAGAACGTAGTGGTTGATATGACAAACTTATACGATCACTTTTTTGTTTCCACTGGGCAATACAACTCCAAGGTGACAGCAGCTCATTTACCATATTTTGATGGTGACTATTGGTCTGGTGCTGCTGAGGATGTGATAAAGAATATTGAAAAAGAAAGTTTAGAAGACTCAAAAAAGATGAGCAAGAAAATTATGTCAAAGAGAATGTTAAAAGCCATGGGACACACAAATCCTTCTGGTCTTGCCACTAAGGATATTCTGCTGATGCAGAAGGTAAAAATTTACAAACTATCCTTCTTTAGTTTTTTGTAACACAAGTATTACTCAAATAGGGTTAATTTTAGTTGAGAATGGTTACCCTCTTAAAATTGCAAATCTGAGATGTTGAACAGCCTGGTCAGTTTGCCTATTCAATTACTGAACCAAGATGAAGTTTCAGTTTTCCAGCTTGGTTTTTCGACAAACCAAGCCAAGCCTGAATGATTTTTTAGTTTGATTCATAGGGCCCATAAAGAAGCTCAATTAGGGAATTTGAACTAAGTTCTGTTGAGCGCGTACAAGGTTCTTGTGAAAACTTTTATATTTTGAATTGTTTGCAAATACCTCAAAATTTTTGAAACTTTCATTCTGTTTGTTAATAGGCTTTCATTTCAATTTGTAGTACCTAGCAAACCAGTGGAACTATCTCGGGCTCAAATTTAGCTTTAGCTTTTATAGTTAAATGTCCAAGCCTAAACATGAATGAATTTGATAGATCACTTTCTTTCAGTTTTTGTAGGTAGTGTTATTTGCGTCAAGAAATGGATTAAATTTTACAGTTTTAACTTTTCTTTTTCGGGTGTGTCTGAGGTGGGGTTGTAGATACATATTCAGAAGGGGAGATGCCAGATTTTACGCTCTTTCATATAGTTTTTTGCCCCTTAACTGCCAGCATCATGAACCAATTAGTTGATATTTTGTTAGCTCATCTCAACACATACTTTGGCCGATTCCCTTCATGCTATGGAAGGAGCTTTAATTTTTTTACTATTACTTTGAGCACACTGGAATTAGATGAAGGAATTACATGCAGTAAATGTATTTGTGAAAACATGCTATTTTAGATCTGTTTAGTTATATCTTTCTGTTGAATCCTTTTTTATGCAACTATGATAGTCACTTAATATTTGATTTCATTGTTTCCTTTTGGTAGTTGGGCCAAAATATTCTACCTATTAAGGAGGACTTTATCATTGCCCACTTGCAGTTTGTCTGCACATGTTGCCACAGACCTATATTATCTGGATGGCGATGGTTTTGCGGTCTTTGTAAAAGCTTTCAGCTATGTGAAAGGTAATCATTCTTTATCTTCTTATTTATTAGAATATGCTCTTTGGTAGTTTTTGTGCAATTTTTTCTTGTCGACTTCTGGTTGGCACTATATTTCCTTGGAACTCCATTGAGGCATCAAGTTATGAGTAACCTCGACTGGCTGGACTCTTTAACTTTTAGATGGTTATGTCCTATCTAGAAGTAAATTTGAGAATACAAAGCTATAAGATGATAACAATATTAAGTTTCTTTATTGATTCAGTTTGTGTATAAAATATTGAGACTGGAACTATGTAGAGTTCAAAACTTTTTTATCACCTTTGTGAAATGAGTTTTCTGTTGCCAAGTTTAGTAACAATAATGCATTTGTAGCTTACAAATGGGAAATGTTTTATTATACCTACCAATAAAAGGAAGAAAGAATTGCCCCTTTCCTGCTCAATAACTTTTAGCCTCATACATGAAAATTGTGTCGTACTTTCACCATGGAAGATTGCCTAGTGGTACTTCCCATTTTCTTTTCCTGGTCTATAAAACTAGATAGAGGACAAATTTGATATACTGAATAACAGATTACTTTTAAAATATTGATTCCTTTTTGTTGATTACTTTGTAAACAATGAGGTTTCAATTGTCAAAGTAAGATAATTCACAACGTGGCAGGGATTGTTCTGTTTTGCATTAGAAGCTTGTAGATTTTGTTATTTTCAAATTGTCATGTAAGAAATAGGAACAGAAAATTACTAATTTTGTTAATTTCATTTCAAAGAATAGAGTTCTTAATTTTTAAGAAGTCCTTATTGTGCCAAAACAGATTTTAAAAGGATTAATGTTAGAAATGGCCCCTGAATTATACTGAAGTGTTCAATGTGGTACCTGAACTTTAAAAATCTCTATTGCGATATCTAAGCTATGAATTTGTTAATTAATATGGTACTCACCCATAACATCGTTAGCTCCAAATGATAACACATAGCTGACAAACAGTCCTCCAAGTATCACATTAGTTAATAAATTCATAGTTTGAAGTACTACATTGAATATTTCACTACAATTCAGGGTTCATTCACAACATTATCCCTTTTCAAAATTATGACTGCTAGGAGTTAACAGTTGTTAGTGGTTTAAAACTGAAGCATCAAAGTACAAGTTTGGAAATGTCATATGCTGTGGTCTGTATTTATTTGTCTCTTTCTTTAAATTTAATTAGCATGCTCATAATGTTATAACGCTTCTTCCTCGTATCGAAAACCTATCTCCTTCATAGAGCTGTTACTTCATGTTTACAATATGCATTGCTTCTAGTGGTGCACATATTATTCATTGCACTTTACTTCTAGTGGTGTACATATTATTCATTGCTCTTTACCCTTCACATCATGTTCCAGGTGCCATGATGCAGAGAAAAATATCTACAAGGAAAGCTCTCACACGTTATGTACCGGGGAAAAACATTTACTGAGTAGGGTAAATACCTGGCTCCCGTTGTCTTTGCCTTTATTACTAAGGGGTTGAAATATTTATTCATATCTAAAGTAAGTCCAACTGTATCTCACTCTTTTCAGATTATGGTGGATGCACCTTTGGATACTGATGATAAAGACATCAATATGGATAATGGTTTATTTGAAAATAGGCATGGTTTTTTGAGCTTCTGTCAGAAGAACAATTATCAGTTTGACACACTTCGCCGGGCCAAGCATTCCTCAATGATGATCCTACACTACCTTCACTATCCAACTGTGTTCACTGCTGGAACCACCTGCAGTATTTGTTACAAGGACACACCAACAGACCAGTGCTGGCTATGTGAGATCTGCCCGAATGTTGCTGTTTGTGCTGCATGCTATCAAAAAGATTATGGTTCCTTGCATGTTCATAAGTTGACTCAGCATTCTTCGGCTGTTAATTCTGACACCGAGAATAGAGAGGCTCAGAAGAAGGAATTACTGGTACGAAGATATTCGCACCTGATACTATTAGACTATTGTTGCTCATTTTACCTTTTTCATTATAACTTGGGCACCTAGATTTAATTAGAATGTTATTTGATGGCACAGAAAACGCGAGTTCTGGAAGTTTTGTTGCATGCCTGTCAATGCCACTCTCGCTGCTCCTACCCAAATTGCCTTCTCATCAAAAAGCTATTCTATCATGCAAAAGAGTGCAGTGTTAGGGCTGCTGGGGGTTGCCAGCACTGTAAGAAGATGTGGCTCATACTGAGACTGCACTCCAGAAATTGTAAAGAATCTGATTGCATCGTACCACGCTGCAGGTATGATACTAGTAACCTTTCAAAAGTCTCTTGTCATCTAAAAATATCTAGAGTAAATTACACCATTGGTCATTAAACTATAGTTGTGTTTTAAAAATTGTTACTGAGCCATTAAAATTTTCGATTTAATCATTAAAGTTTAAGTGTCTTTTTGTCGCCCAACCGTTAGTCTCTAATAGCGTGCTAACATGGCAATGACATGTAATTTATTTTTCTAAATTTATGATGCCATGTCAACAATATCATGTGGCACCTGACAGCCGACATGGCAGTATGCCGTTAAAGACTAACAACTGGGTGACAAAAAAAACATTTATTCAAATTTTAGTGATTAAATAAAAACATATTAGTTAGGTGATCATTTTAAAAATACAATCGTAGTTGAATGTTCAATGCTGTATTTTACCCAAAAATCTAAAACAGTTTCTCCATAAAATGATTTATTTTTCTTCAAATTCACAGGGACATAAAGCAGCATGCAAAGATTTTGGCACAGCAGTCTGAAACATTAGGAAGAGGCTGCACATGAAGAACACACCAATAACAGGGCAGGCCCTTGGGATTGATCGGAGCACTTAGTATCTCAATTGTACAGTTAGAATAGGAATGTCACAACATAAACAACTGCATAACATGTCAAAGAGAAAAAGTTGATAGTCAGGTAGCTTGAGGTCATGAAATCATTGTTTTTCTACCTGCCATTGTTGTATAGCTTCTTGTGCTTCAATTTTGGTATGAATAGTTGGCCATGACAAAAAAATATTGTTTTGGTATGAATGGAGTGGTAGGAGGTATGTTTTAAGTTCAAGGATATTAAAATTTTTGTTGATGTTCAAGTGATGTAGGAGAAACAAAACTGTTTATTAATATATATGTTTGAAATAACAGGTGCTGTAGTGTTTTAATTATACTAAGATGTTTATTTACAAAGTTTCTTAGTAGGGGAGTAAATGAACTGAACATAAAAAATTTTCCTATGTTCATGACTTATTCGTATATTTTTAGGGTTATTCATGATTAGTTGGAGTTCAGTGAGGAATTTTTACACTATGTTGAAGCTTGATTTGTTTAAATATTATGATGTTCGAGATAATTTGAGATCGATTCTTTTATTTTAAACAAGCTTATTTTTATATATTAGAAACGAAATTATTGTTGAATATTAAACAAATATGTTAATGAAAATATAAATGAATATGTTCATAAATAATTAAAAATTTATTCATGAATAATTATCATAATCAAATAAATTTAAAAAATAATAATTATAAACTTATAACAAACGAGTGAACTTTAAATAATATTTAAACAAATTAATTTGTGAATGTGAACGAACTAAAAATATTTTTGTTTGAGATCGATTCGTTTAATAAATGAAATTTGAAATATTATTCACTCAACGATTTTATTTATTTACACTCTTAAATTAGTGATGGATTCATTCTTTTAATTCTTGCTTACGGTGAAAGTGGAAACCTTTGATTGGACATCGAAAATTTAGAAGTGACTATTAGATAGCAGTGGCAAAGGTGGATTAACAATGTGTAACAGGGGCAATTGCTCCCGCTAAAATCATAATCTACTTCTTAATAAATTTTAGGCATAAATATAAAAAAAAAATCCTTGAATTAAAATTAAATAATCATTTAAATTCTTTTTATTTTATTATAATTAATTAAACATTCAGACATAAATTTTTATCAATAGAGTGTTTATTAGATGAAAATTAGTTAATTATCAATATGCATTTATGTGCAATCGAAGATTCAATTAAATAAAAATAAATATTTAAGAGTTTAATTATATAAAAATAAATGATTAAAGATTCAACTTATTCAAAATAAAAGATTTATGGTTTAGTTGAATTGAATAAAAATAGATAATTAAGGGTTCAATTAATTCAAAATAAAAAAAAATTCATAATTTAGTTGATTGAAATAAAATTTTAAAAACTTAAATGATTATTGAATTTTTATTTAAAAGTTTTTTTATCCTTCAACCTAAATTTTATTGAAACTCAAAATTAATAAATGAAGATTAATTAGTTTAAAAAAATATAATGTACATTCAAACTTAAGTATTCAATATAATTAGATTCCTCAATATACTTTTTTATTCCATTCTTTAACTAACAATAATAATGAATCAATACTGAGTAAAAATATTTCACTCTTTAAAAATTTATAAACGGTAGTTATTTCATTTAAGATAAGGTACATATATTTATACATACTTTATTATAATAATAGTAATGTTTAGAACAATACATTAAATCAGAGTCGTCATAATAAGTAAGTTCAAAAATTTAATTGTTAGATATAAAAAATAGAGTCATCATTAATATTTTTTAATTAAATAAGGTTATCACATGAATGAATTTATTCTCATTAAAAAAATTTAAGTTTTACTCAAATTTCTTAAAAAAGTAAATTTTAGTTTATGAAATTGAATTAGGTTCTAGAATGCCGTAAATGTAAGGAAAGTATTATCATCCTACAACATCCATTCAAAAAATAATATCAATTAAATTTATGTTATTCATTATAGCTTTAATAAAGCATTTTAGAATAATTTGTACATTGAAAATTCTTTTTAGTAATTTATATATTGGAAAAATTTTAAATTATTTCAATTTGTCGATAACAATTTTAAGAATATTTTTTATCTCAAGAATATTAAAGAAAATTATTATTTTTCTTAAAGAAGTTCTATATTTGGAATTATTAAATTTTAAAAACATATTTTTTTATATAAATTTCTATCCTTTGATATTGGAAAATTTACTAAATTCCTTAATGTTTTTCAAAATTTAGAAAAACCCATCACTTAAAAATTTTTACAAAAATTGCTATTTGTAACTTTTTAAAAATTTTATTATCAAAATTTTCAAAAATTAATTTTGTGAAAACATCATTATCAAAAAAATGGTCTTTATCGACGAAAAATTTCATTAATAAAAATCATTTTTTCATCGATAATAATAGTAGAGACAAAAAATTCTATTAGAACTAATTAAGTCAATAATGCTATTTCGTCAGTAATAAACAAAATTTATTCTTAATTATTGATGAAATTTTCATTAGTAAATTTCATTGGTAATTATCAATGGTAAAATCCGTTGGTAATCCTGTCAGTAATATTTATTTTTTATTTATATTTAATACATTTTATTTAAAAAATTTTCATTTTATTTTAGTTTTTTAAATTTATTTTTAAAATAATTACACGAATACTAAATTTACATAAATAGAAAAAATAAATAAACAAAATGCCCCATTTATTTATAAAAAAAATGTAAAATATTTTATAAAATTATTTATGAATTCTATTAAATAAAAATACAAAAATTCAATTTCGGCATTAGCTAATATTTAAGTCCCAAACAAATAGTCTTCGTAGATATTAATGTTCATCTCACAATTTCAAAAGGCACCCACCAACCTCTTTTCCAATATGAAAATCAAAGACATGAACCTTCATGTCGTCTCCTCGAGCAATGAACTTATTGCCATACTTTGGTTCCACGTCAAATGAACCCCAAGAAATGTTTTGTAACAAATATGCATAACGTGCAAAATGCACTAAAACTTCCATGCTTGACTTTTAAACTTGAGAAACAATATGCATCCATTACACAAGCACAAACAATAAGTGATAACTTTAATTTTGGTAGCGCATGAACAAAATAAAAGTTTTTTAATTTATTTCATAATTATGAATTATGAATTTCGAAAGAACATCTCAAAACCTTATTTTCACACCCATTTACTTATAAATAGATACCCTTACTCCAATTATTGAGGCATAACTACAAGTCTACAACCAAAGAGCCCCGTCTACGCTTGGTGGGTGTTTAGTCTAGCTTATGGAACAGCTTATTTATTGTAAATGCAGAAGTCAGATGTTTGGTTTTCAAAATTTTTAAAATTTTAACTTGCATGGGAAGCATATTTGAGGTTTTAAACGAAGTTATAAATTAAAATTTTTTTAAAAAGTGCTAATTTTAATGATAAAATTTAATGAATTTGTTTTACATTCTCACTGTCAAAATTATAAGGAGAATTATATTATTTCATATTATTTTTTATTTTGTTTATTTTCTATTTATTATAATTAACAAAAATACATATTTATTTTATACGTTTTTCACCTAAAATTTATGATTAAATTTAAATATTTTTTTATTTATTACAAATATAAAAAATTATTAACAAATAGTTCTTTTTAACATTCTATATCACTTCTGTATTAAGTTTGTGAAAAACTATTTTAACTTCTTTTTAAATCACTTTTATAACAGTTTTACTCCAGCGACACTTATAAAAACTCCAACTGAACCAAACAAAGCTAAAGGGCTTTCAACCATTCTTTGCCTCCCACTAGCCTTTTTCTCATTAGTTCTTTAGGTTTCTTTTATGCTAAATACCTTAATTACAATATAAAAAATATTTTTTTTGTACAAAAACTTATAATTAAGTTTTATTTCAAACATGATTTTTTAAAAAATAATGATTATTTTATTATTTTTTATTCAGGTTAAATTTATAAATAAGATAATTTTTTTTCAAAATTTTAGAATACCATAACGAGATATGAATTTTTTATTTTAAAATTTTGAGTACTATTAAAAATATATTTTTCAATTGGTAACAAAACTTTATAAATCATTGGTGGAGTTTTGAATTCTACAAGTTAATTTATATAATTGTTTTATGTCTATTTAATAATTATACTAATTGATTAAGTTCTTTAAATATGTCTTAATAGACATATGATAATTTTCTAAATCTATTTTTAGAGTTTTAAAAACTTAATATTAGTGTATGAAATATTTTTCTAATAAATAATTGAGTTTTTATTGAAATGATTTTGAAGGAAAATTATCATAGTTAATGGAGTTTTTAATGTAATAAGTTTAGATAATTGATGTATGTTTAATTAACTTGATGCATAATTATTAATTATGCGTTAATTATTTAAAATTTGCTTGTATTGCTTAAAAATAGATATATCCATTAGTCGAATCTTAAAAAATTTTTCAAGGTTGAGCTCAATCTGGGATATTTTTTAATCAATAAAAAATTTATTTAAATTTATTTTTAAAATATGTTTAAAATTATTAAGATTTTAATATAATTTTCAAACATTTTCTGTTTCAACCTCTTGGATTTGATCGATCGAACCGAAGCAAAAGCCTTGGGGAGGGTTTTTTAAACGCTAACTAAGCCTAGATTAACCCAACTTGATCTATACATACTTAAAAACTTCACATTTATTTTATAATACAACTATTTATTTCAAACATATGGAATTTAGATTTATTTAATTCATGTAATTTATTTTTTTTTATAAAATTAGAATCTTTTTGCATGGATAACAATTAGAGGTAAAGGTGAGAAAAAAAATGAGATAACTGAAAATTGATTTGAAATTATAGTATTTGATTTGGTTAAAATCAAATTTTTTTCTTATTTGATTTGGATTAAGTTTGAATATTAAATGTGTATTTTAGATTTGGACTAGATTTTAGATCAAAAAGTGAAACAAAAAATTGAATTAAAATAAATTATGTATTTTTATTAGCTTTTATGTATTTTAAATTTTTATAAAATAAAATAATTATTATATTTCTATATCTATTTAAATATGTTAAAAATATATTAAAATAATATATAAAAACAAAAAAATTTAAAAATGATAAATTGATCCGACTAGCAAAATGTGAATCGAATCATATAAAAATTTGATTTAGATTTAGATAGAATTTTAAGAATTTATAATTTTATGCGTTATCCAAAAAAAATCAAATCAGATCAAATACAATCCAATCCAAATCATTATTACCTTTATTTATAAGTCTTACAAACTGAATTATCTATCAGGTCTACTAGCTCAATCTATCTTTAACTAAACCTTGAAATGAATTTTAAGATCTAAGTTCATTAAGGATTGAGAATATTATTATATTAATAAATAATATATTTATTTAATTTTAATTATAACATTTCTAAAAAATATTGAAATTTAATATAATTCTTTTTAACTTTAATAATAAATATAAATAAATAAACCAAATTTGTGTTTAAGTTTTCAAATATCAATCGGGCCAATTAGGGATATAAATAATACATTAGTACTCGCAAGCTACTCGGGTTCGATTCGAATAAAACTCGAATTCGATTCGATTATTATCAAGTCGAGCTCGAATAGCTCGACTTATTGATCGAGCCTAGTTCGAATATTCTTATACCCGACTCGAGTAGCTCGTGAACCTAACCGAACTTTTATATTTAAATTTTTTTAATTTTTTAATTAATAAAATATCTTGAATTCGAGTTTGAGCTCAAGCACAAATAATCAAACTCGTATTAAATATAAGAATCGAGCTTATTTTAACATATTAATCGAGCTTAATTGAGCGAGTTCAAGTAGCTCAATTTCAATTACAAATCGAGCTCGAGCTAAGAAAATGAAACTCGATCGAATTTGAGCCAAGTATCGAGCCTTGAGTTGAGAGTCGAGCTGAAACTCGAGCTCGAGCTTCTCACTGTATCGGTTCGACTCAGCTCGATTATACCCCTAGGGCCAACCTTATCATTGAATCATAGTAAAAGCTTATTATCAAATTAATTTGGAGGAAAAAAACTAACATACCTTATTTAGATTTTTGTTTGTGAAAAAAATCAATTTTGTCCAAATGAAGTAAAATCAAGCAATTTATATGGAAATTTTGAATTTTGATAAGTCTAAAATTGGAAATAAAGTCGTTATCATCTATCAATAGAGTGGTGTTATTTGTACCCCAAAAAATTTTGAATACCTCTCAAAATTTAATTTTTAAAAAAATTATTTAAATATCATTAGTTAATTATCTTGTTGTCCTTTAAACTCATTGTTAGTAAGTTACCAAAAATTCATTTTCAAAAACTTCTTTAATGTATCAGAAATTCACTTTTGAAATCTTATTCATTATATTGGAAAACATTACAATTATCCAAAAATCCATTTCTGAAAGTAAATTTTTTACTTCAGTTTCTTTATTACAATCTCTTGATCAATGTCTTGTACGAGAATATCGAATGTCCCTTGCTGTGATCTCCAAACAGATTTCTAATAATTTCTGCTAGGTATGGGCTATTTAAATCCAACAATAGAAACCTTTACTCGTTCGGCCATATTATCTGTTCAATAATGTTGTAATATTTTTCAATTCTAACCAATATACATATGAGAGGAATTGGTAATTGTAAAAAGGCATTCATATAAGTGGCTACTGCACTATGTGCAGTGAGACAGTCACTCTCTATCGCACATAATGCAATAGCTAACTTGTACAAGTGCCTCTTAACACTTAGCAATTCCTCCTAGATACACATTTGTTAGAATTGGAAAAATGTTGCAAACATTATTTAATGGACAATGCCTGGTAGTTAAAAGATTAAAGGTTTTTATTGTTAGATTTGCTAGTTTACTGATAATATTGTTAGGGTCAATGATCCTTACAGTATCAAGTTATTGTATACCAAAAATTTATTTTCGAAAGTTTTTAAAGAAATATATAAATGAATGTCCGAAAACTATTGAGAAATTTAAGAAATATACTTCTAAAATTTTTTGAAGGTTTTTGAAAATAGATGTCCAAAAGTTTTTAAAAGATTTCGAAAATAAATTTTCGAAAGTTTTTAAATGATTCTAGATATCCATTTTCAGAGATTTTCAACAATTTTCAAGAATTCATTTAGGGAATGTTTGAATCACACCCTAAAACTTAAAATCCTAAATCTTTTGAAACTAAACACAAAATCAAACGAAAAAATAAAAAGAAAAACCAAATGATTTACTTCTGATTCTAAGTTATCTAATATCAAATGGGTGATTAGAGCTTGATTTGAGACTTAATCCTTCAAGAGTTTAGGGTTTTCAATTGAAGAATATGGGTGTTTGCGTTTTTTAGTAAAGTTTGTGGTGTATTAAGTAAAAAATTGGGTGTTAACAGTAGTAAAGTGTGAAGAGAAAAAACTTGGAATGCAAAAAGTACTACTCCGATCAATATTGTAATGTAATTAACAAAATATAATTTCATATTATATAAAATTAAAAAAATTATCTATTCTTTTAAATTCTTTATTGTGATTGTCTAATTCATTTTTAATTCATTTTATCATATTCTTTAGAAATGTTTTTGAGCTTGGAATGTTAGCATATTGATTGAGTGAGTCTCAGAGGCCATTCAAGTAGCGTAAATAATACACATGTACTCATAAGTTATTTGAATTTAGCTTAACCAAAATTCAAATTTAGCACGAATAACTCGGTTTATCGAGTAAGTCGAATTTGAGTATTTTAATGTTTAATTTGAGTAGTTCATGAATCTAATTGAATTTTTATATTTTAATATATATTTTATATTTCAATTAGAAAATTATTATTTTTTTAAATATCAAATTGAGTTTAAATTCGAATAGTTAAATATGAGAATCAAACTGATTTTTTATTTTATAAACAAGTTTAATAGAACAAATTTAAATAATTTAATTTTTATCTCAAGTTAAATTTAAATTTAAAAATTCAAATTCAAATAAATTCAAGCTAAATTTTAAATAATAAATTTCGAGTTAAATTCAAACTTGAATCTTTCATTGTATTAACTCAACTTGAGTAGACCTCTAGGCCACATTATCCACCAAGCTAAGCATAAGCTTGAGATAGGTAATAGTCTTGTTTGTAATTTAGGATAAACGATAAACACAGAACAATAATTTTTTCTTTTTTGGTGAAGTTTTAGGAACATATTACTTATAATGATAATTAATCGATTACAAAATAAAATTATTAAATCATGTCATATAATTATATCATATAATTATATTATTAAAATAAATAAATTATGTATTATTAAATAATTAATTAATTTATTAAAATTAAAATTTATTATTTAATTATCACATGTAACGTCCAATAAATGATTAATTTTTTTTGATAATGTAATTATATAATATAATTTTAATGGAAATAACTTAATTTTCATTTAATTTTTATTCATTAAAATTTTATATAAAATTTACATTTATAAGTGATACAATGAACGTTAATATAATTTTTTATTATAATTAAAAAATTATAAATTACGGTGATAAAATTTTTAAGTGATTTACTCTCAAGCATTAAAAGGCTAAAAGGCTAAAGCGATCTTTGAACTTAAAATATATATATATATATATATATATATATATATATATTTATATATAAAGAAAAGAAAGAGAAGAAAATAACAAAAATTTTCATTTCGCATTTTCTTGGGAAAAGTCATCTCTATATACTCAAGGTAGGTCCATATTTATCTCATCTTCGAGCACAGATTAGAGAAAGCTCTTTTTTTGTCAGATAGACTTACTGATTTTTTTAAGATAAAAGAAAACCCTAGTTTTTTCAACTCCGTTTTATTCGATCAATTTGAGCCAAAGAAGATGTTATTGTGTGGGTATTGGGTGTTTGGGTTCAAATGATTTGTTGATCTGATCTTGGACTCATCCACACTTAGACTCAACTATTAGTGTTTTAGGGTTTTTTTTTTTTTTTATTCGTTTGTTTTTGTTTTCTTGATTGCTTTCACGCTTAATACTGAACACGTCACTCACCATTCTCTCTTTCAATATTACTTTATGATTTTACTTTCGCTTTAAACAGAAAAAAATAGGGAAAAAGAAAAACAAAGAAAGAAGCCAGCTTTGTTGCAAGAAACTAAAAGGGTATGGCCTCAACTGAGAGCTCCAGATCTTCACCTTCTGGGTCTCCTGATTCATACATAGGCAGCTTGATAAGCTTGACGTCTAAGTCTGAAATCAGATATGAAGGTGTTCTCTTTAACATCAACACTGAAGAATCCAGCATCGGTTTGAGAAATGGTAAGGAAACAAACAAAACTCCTTTCTTTTCTGTTTTTTTTTTTTTTTTTTTTTGGGTTTTGGTTTTGATATTTGAGCTCTTTAGTGGATTTTACTTTGTGGGTTTTCGTTGTTGAGGTGAAATGGTTTATGTTGACTGGTTAATGTGAGGCTGATTTTGTGTTGCTGTCAAAAGTTTCACTTTTTCTACTTTTTCTTCTTTAAGTTCTTTGTTGGGTCATTGGGTATAATAAAGGTTTGTAAGTGAGATGAATGTTGACTCAGGTTTCAAATAGCGGTCATGTAGCGGCATTGCAGCCGCCATTTCGCGGTTTCAGTAGCCTCCGCCGCTGCTACATGCTGAAATTGGGGTGTGAACGGGATTCACGCTCATAAAATAATACTGTAGCGGACAATAGTGGCTATATGTAATCACCATTTTCAGTCCAAAATGTAATTTGGAAACCCATTCCTTTTTTTTAGCAGTCACAGAATTTCATATGAAAAAGCACATTCGAAACAAGAAAAACCCTTAAGTCTACTACTCAATCAGCAAATATAAACCTTAATCAAAATCAAAGAACATGTTGTTGAAGTTAATCAATGACCAACTCAGACCTTGAGAGTCGAGAAGAAGCAAAACATCCTTTAACTGCCAAGATAGGAAGATGAGGGACCTTGGGTTCACTATTAGCGTGGCTGGTGGCTTGAGTTGAGGAAGAAGGCAAAGATAGTGTGACTGGAACTTAGAAGAGGTTAGGAGATAGAGGAAGCATGGGAGATGCTATGGATTTTTAGAGAAAGAGACAGTTAGAGAGAGAGGGAGATACAAAGAGGTTTAGTCATGAATTTTGAAGAATGTATGGATGTGGGAAAGGTTTGGTGGCTTTGGGCTCAGCCGAACCAATCACAGTTTTTTTTTTTTTTTCCTTTTTTCTAAGTTAAAATTTAGGTCAGAATTTAGAAGGGTCAGGACTCACGTGTGACTTAAAAGTAAATTGTATTTTGCTTTTTCCTATTTAGGTGAAAATTTGGAGAGAGAAAAGCAAATGATTTGGTGAGAAATTGGACATTGGATATTTTAGAAAATTCTTTGATGATTTTGCTGAAAATTTAAGGGGAATGTGAGCTATTAATTAGTGAATTATTTTTATGTACCATCATTTAAAAGTAATTAGTAGTTTTTTTATATAATTTCAATATTACTAATGTTATTGTTAATTTTATATTTTTATTAGTTAATAAAGATTAGTTTTGCTACTATTATATTACTTTGATTTAATTAGTTATTTAAAATGTTGCACTTGAAAATTTGATCTAATGGTAAAGTATATTTATCCATGGTCAAAGAGTTAGTTTAATCATCTTCCCCCAATAAACATATGTTATAAAAATATCTAAAATTTTCTTCACTATTTTTCTAATTAAATTATTATATTCTTAATTAACTTCATATAAGATTCTTTTTCCATCATATGTATTTATGACATTTATGTCCATGAACTTCATGGGTATAATAATGAAAAGCATTTATAGTTTGCAATTTGATTCTGAATTATAGCTACAAAATGTGAAAATTTTATTTTAATCTATAAATAAAAAATTAAAATGTCATAAATTACTTTAAAAATCATTAAGTACGAGTTTTTATTATTATAATTATAATTACTAAAATTTATAGTAACTTATGAAAAATAAAAATTCACGATCGTGATGACCGTGATGCAATCCAAATCATGTCTGTGACCGCAATTTAAATCCCGATGCTGACTGTTTAAGCAACTGGTATTAGTTGAGCTAGTCATTAGATTAAATACCCAGGAGGCCAGCATTGTAGAAACAATTAAATGAATCTGGAGTTTAGCTTAGTTGGTTAATGCAATCACCCTTAAGAAGAAGTGGAATTAAGTAGGTTTGGGTTAAGTCCCTCCATCTACAGCCGCTTATCTTATCTCCAGGTTGCAATCTTCTTTGTACCAAAAAAGAAGATAAAGTTAAAAATGTGGATAATCTAGAGAACCAAAAAAAAAAAAAAGGAATGTTATAAGGCTGAAACATAGGACAAAAGAGCTGAGTATTTGTTTTCTGATTTACTTTCAAACATCTGGTGTATATCTCAATTTATAGGACCTGTGAAATTTAAATAATAATTCAGTGTTGGCTGCCTGCTAAAATTAATACATATCACACAGTTTCCTGTATTTTTAATCCAACACCTGTAAAACACATAAGATTTTACATTTTACAGCTCTCTAAACAACTATACAGCGGCAATTAAGTTGGCACAGCACAATTTTGGCAATAATCAGGGATTTCGAGTTGTTATTTGTTAAGGACTAAAATGTTTTGTAAAAGTAGTTAATGCTAGTTTGGAGCACCCTGAAGTTGTTGGAAATTTAATAAAAAAGTGAGTAATAAATTGAAGGTTTAAGTATTAGTATTGATGATTGAAAGGGTCAAGTATTAGTGTTTACATGGATTGCTACAAAAGAAATAATATAAAATTTGACAATTGTGGCTGCAAATGTGAGGATCTTGCAGCTTCCAATGTTATTCTTGTGCTTGTGGTTAAGAAAGGCCTAGTCTATGTTTTAGTGACTATTCTTGTCATTTTGGGTTTTAAGATGTTCTTCTAAATAACTTTTCTTTCTTTAACATTGCAGTAAGGTCATTTGGAACAGAAGGGCGAAAAAAAGATGGTCCACAAGTTCCAGCAAGTGATAAAATTTATGAGTACATACTCTTCCGTGGAAGTGACATAAAGGTATTCCAAATATTATTGGAACTGTAGAAAATCAGAGTATCGTATTGAAGAAAAAACATGAATGTTACAAGCTCTAAGGATTATATGCATCTGCTTTTGAGAGATAAAATAGGAAACTAAATTAGAAATAAAAATATTTACAGATTTCCTAAAATAACGAATTTATTAAACAATACAGCTGGAACCATGTGTTTTCCCACAGGAACTAATGCACATTAATAGTGTAATTATCTACCTTTTAATTATGAAGTTTCGCATTTGGCAATTGATCATGGATAAAGAATTGGACTCTGAATTTGAATTTTGGTCCTAGAAGGCTGTTTTTGAAGAAATGCTGAATTGCTGTAGAGTATCAAGGGTATTTCTTTCGTTGAAAGTATCTTCTTTTGCTTCACTTATGGTGCCATAAGTTGTTCATTTGCTATCTAGACTTGCGCCAAAAGAGGCTAGAAAAAGCAAAAGTTGTTTTGTCGCTTGATCACCCTCCTATTATTGCTTGTAAAGTTTGTTAGAAGTTTGTTTTGGTTTATGCTGAAATACTTTCCAAGTTTCAAAATTTCTTGGTGTTTTAAATTCATTCAACAAAACTATTTTCCTTGAACAATCTTTATGAGATTCAATTTTATCTCTTATCTGGTAAGGTGTTGGTGCAGCATTTTATTAATGCTTGACTTATAGATGACTGTAATGAGTTACCTCATAAGTAATACTAATCTTTGCTGCTTAACCTCATGGTGTTATTGTTTATCATGGAATTTGGACTTAATGTTGTATATTAGTGCCAAAGTGTCTTAGGATTGCCCCTGATACGTACCTGGAGCTCAGTCTGGTCAGCAGGCTTAGGTTTGGGTGCACCATTTTGTTAATGCTCGACTTATAGATGACTATTTATGAGTGACCTTACAAGTAAAAGATTAATCTATGCTGCTTAATCTCATGGTGTTATTGAAAGTTGTGATTATGTTACTAGGCCAGAGTGAAGATTTCATGCTACTAAATCTGACATTTTAGATTTATCTGCACAAGAGTTGAGAAAAAAAAAAAAATTTACATGCACTAAAGCATTGTAATTTAGATGCCGCATTTGCTAGAATACAATTTGGTTCCATCTACTTTTTAGTGAAGATAGAAAATTTCTTGTTTCATCTCGAATTTTATATAAACCTATTATCTATATAAGCGCCTTAAATGTATTTTTTTTTCTTGTTCTGCATTTGTTTTACAGGACTTGCAAGTTAAATCTTCTCCACCAGTTCAGACCTCAGCACCTATACACAATGATCCTGCCATTATACAGGTAGAGGAAAGAAAATGGTTATTATTTATTGCTATATTGTACTGCTAATAAATAGCTTTTTTAAACCAGTAATATTATCAAGTTTATATGGAATGATATTTAAAATATTTCTAGAACTGGAGTGTCATCGCTAATATTGTACTTCCTAGTGAAAAAAAGAGTCAAAATACTGTATTTATTTATTTATTTTTACATTTGTGGTTCTATTTTAATTTCCAGCATTTAGGAATTCTAAGCGTTTGAATTTGGTTTAGAGTTTAGAGTTTAGCTTGTAAGAATCAATCTTAGCGAGAATTTGGAAAATTGTTATGAGATTTCGCTCTTTCAGTTGTTTCTCTCTGGTTTTCTCTCCCTAAGTTTCTAATTTCTCCAATTTCTTCTGTTTCTTCCCTCTTCTCCTTGATTTCCCTCTATATACTCCTTCCTTCCCCTCCTTGTTTATGACTGTGCTTAAATGTGTCTTTCTATTGTTAAGATGTGTAGATCTGCATAATCAAAATAATTGGAGACTAACTCTGAGTATATTTTTTACTGCTGTTTTCAGTTTCAAATAGCATTACAAATTGGCATTTTGGGGTTATTGGAATCAAATTTTATTATTTTTCAAGCATCAATATAGATACATGCGTATTAGTCAACTTTGCTTTCATTTGTACTATTCCTTTCTTGTGCAGTCTCACTATCCCCAGTCAGCAATTGCATCCACAAGCTTGCCTTCTAGTACTGGATCTATACAAGATCCAGGTTCCCAAACTCCGTCTGTAGGACTGGTGAGGCCAACATTTCAAGGCAGTCTTCCATTATATCAACCTGGTGCAAGTTTAGGGCCATGGGGTTCATTGACTGCTCCAACCACAAATGGTGGGCTTTCCATGCCTATTTACTGGCAAGGTTACTATGGGTCAACAAATGGTCTTCCTCCACAGCAACAACCTTTACTCCGACCCCCACCTGGCTTGTCAATGCCACCTTCCATGCAGCAATCTATGCAATATCTAGCCATGAATGTGTCATTACCTACTGCAGCTTCTAACTTGCCAGCTTCTCAGTTTTCTGAAAACAGTCAGTTGCTGCCACCCTTTGGTACAGGCGCCATGAATTTATACTCTTCTTTTCTTCCATCACATTCTTCTACAGTAGTTTCAGACTCATCAACTAGTTTGAATCCAGATAGGGCTTCTTCTTTAACTCTTTCTACTGCAGCTCCAACTAGTAGCTTGCCATTGGTATCCCCATCAAGTACTGCTTTAGATAAAAGTGCTGTCATGTTGTCTTTTTCTGACAAGCCTAAGACAGTCCCTGATCCCACAATGCCATTCAAAGGCATGCCTGATTCTGCTTCCTCCACCATAGGGACAACAAGTTCAGTTTTGAATGATGGAATGCTTCCTTCTTTGGTAACCCCAGGCCAGCTTTTACAACCTGGATTGGTCACAGCATCTTTTTCTATGTCTTCACAAACAGCTCAGAAGGACGTGGAGGTTGTTCATGTGTCATCTCCAGAATTGACGTCAGCACCAGCACTAGCACCTCTGTTAGCAAAAGCACCACCACCTCTGTTAGCACAAGTGCCACCACCAGTTTCAGCACAAGCATCACCACCATTGTTAGAACAAGCACCACGACAACCACCAAAAACAGAAGGACATGAACCGATATTGCCTTCACCTTCACCCTCTGACCAGAAGGTATTGCTACCATTATCTTACTTCCATTCTGCAAAGTGAAAGGGCTTAAAATCTGAGGTACTTTGATCCTGTGACATTTAGTTTTCCTTTTGAGAGGGTCAGGGATGAACGTGGAACAGTCTTCTTTTCCTTTGTGTTCCCCCATCCTTCTCTCTCTCTCTCTCTCTCTCTCGGTTTTTAGGCTCTGTTGAGTTGCTCCCTGTTTTTGACTCTCTTGGTCCATTTCTGAAGCATCAGATGTGACTTGTTTCTGGAGATCATAGATATTAAATGGTTGTGCTACTGGCTTTGGGATACAAGTATTCCAACATGATTTTGCCCTACAGATGAAAAGGACAATTTCTCCTTAACTTAAAATTTAGTGTTTAGACTTTGACCACAATTTCTCCTCAACCTAGGGATGTAAGAATTTCCAATTTGGAGTTACCACATGCCATAATTTGTAGAGTTCAGCTCCTTTTGGTCCCCTTTTTAGTTGAAGGAACCCCAGTTTTTGACTCTGAAATTCAACTACTATAGTGACTTGATGCCACTGAGCTGATGTTGCTAACTTCTTGAAAAGAATTTCAATCTACTGACCTCTCCAAAACAAGGTGGCTAAGTGCCTAATCAATTTTTTAACTCATTGAATTGAGAAATGTTTTCTCTCAAGCAATTTCTTATCTATGACGCATTCTGACTTGTCCATTCAATTTATCTTTTGTTTCCTTTTGACATATCAGGGATTATATTACCAGGTTTCTTTAGTTGTGGCTGGTTTGACCATTGGCTATTAATTGCTTTATCCTTCCCAATAGTTAGGATGCATAATTTTCACGTATGCATATCATTATGTTGGCTTGAAAAAGTTACATATACGCTAACATGCTAGTTTCCCATTTCTGGTGCATTTTATGTTGGTTCTTCACCCCCTCCTAGCTACATGGAGCTCCAATGCACGCCTATCATAGTTACAGAGGAGGACGTGAAAGAGGAAGAGGAAATGGGGTACGTTATCTGTTTCTTTGCATTGCCAGGTTGTCATTCACGATGCATTTGGTGGCAATGCTAATCTTTTGAGCAGGAAGTAGCCATGTTAGTGTCTATAATGAAGAATACATTAAATGGAAGTTTTGGAAAGCTTTTGCAATATCACTCTATGCCTTAAAACATGTTTTAATTTGAGTACCACCCTATGTTAGGGAAGCTAATCGAATAGTCTGAAGTTTTGGGATAATAAAAAACTGATTTTCCATCTATGTAGAAGACTATTTACTTGATAAAACCCTTATTTATACCTTTCGAATTTCATAATTCAAAATTTGCCTCTTGTTCAACAATTAAACTTATTTGGGTCATTTTGAAAATTATAATAGATTGATTGCAATGAAACCATGATTTGACAAATAAATTTCTACATTAGATTCACCAAAAGAATCTGCGATGATGTGCTTGAATGGTCTTGATCATATGGAAGTGATGCACAAGAGCATATGCTGATCTGAAACTTTTATCTCTTTGTTCCCTTCTAGTGTGTGTGAGCCTCCATACAGGCATTTATGTTGTTCTCCAGATTGTATGGTATCATTTCAGTCAGTGTAGTTTGATTATTTCACTCTAAAGGTTGAGGTAAAACAAACAGTTCAAACTAGATTTTTTGCATAGTGTATTCTTATTGCAGTATAATCATGAGAATTGACTGATCATGATATTGGGAACTTCAAGTATTTTAAGCTTTAAGATTCATAAAATCTTTATTTTCTTATGGTAGAAATCTCCAAGATTACATAAAAGAACCAATTCAAAAGTTTAACAATTTTAACTTACTTTCTCCTTGAAGGCAATGATATTACCTGCCAAATCCTCCTTGGAAGTCTTTTTGTATTTATGAAAAATTGTTTTATAAATTTGACCCTGTAAGAACTTTATTCTGTTGGTCATTGCTTTGCCAACCATGATGAACTCACAAGGTCCGTAACCTTTATAGTCCAATGGCTTAGCATGGTTGTAATGTCAACATTTGGTACTGCAGATTTCACGTTCAGCAACCAGATTTACTGAAGAATTTGATTTCACAGCGATGAATGAGAAATTTAACAAGGATGAAGTTTGGGGTCATCTCGGCAAAAGTAGCCGAGCTCAGGAAGATGTCGATGATTTACAAAATGAAGATAGTGTTGGGTCCCTGAAAGGGGAGGTTAAGGTATGAGCACTCCACCCCATGTGCATGTTGGTGCCAAACAAGTTTCTATAATTTGGTTTCTAAATTTTTTTTGTTACTTATTTTTATTCTTTTGCAGCGTGTATATGTTAAGGATGATTTTTTTGATTCCTTGTCCTGTGATTCTCTTGGTGGTGGGTCGCGTGGGAGAACTAGATTTTCAGAGCAAATGAGAAGAGATACAGAGGTACTATATTCCATTGCATTGGGGGCTGGGCTTGTTTGCGTTAGAGGTGTAATTGAGCTGGGTCGTGATGATACAATGAGAAGCATGAGCTTGATCCAAACTCGAGGCTCAAAACTTGCTAGCTTGATTGAGTTTCATTTTTTTAGCTTAAGTTTGACTTGAGCTAGAAATCGAGCACTCAAGCTTGCTCAAATTAGTGTCATTTACTAAGTACAACATTAGCTCGATTCCCACACTTGGCTTGAAGTTCAATTATTTGTGCTCAAGCTCAATAATAACCAATAGGTATATTAAGGGTAAAATAATAAGTTAAGAATTAAAATAATAAAAATATATATTAAAATAGAAAAACTTGATTAGGCACACTAGTCACTCAAGCTGGATATTAAGATGCTCAAACTTGTCTCACTTGATAATTCGGGGTATTCAAGCTCGACTTCGGCTCGACAAAAACTGAGCTTAATTTGATTTTTGAGTCAAGTTCGTTTAGCTTGTGAGCATCAATGTCTCGTTTAACACCCTGTAAATGACAAGTTCAATGGGGAATAGGAGGAATTGGAGCTTGGACTTCGACCAAAGAAGTAACGACAGTTAAAAACTGATCTGGTTATGACTTATAAGCTTGTAATGGAGTTTACATAAATCTCTGGCGTAGTATTTGTTGATAATGTGTGTTTTTCAATATGCATGATCTCGTATTCTTGATAAAATTCTCTTTACAATGTCTATATAGACCTTTGGTGATATCCCACGGCATCGTGGTGGTAGAGGCGGCCGTGGACCTTTTCATGGTGGCAGAGCACGTGGTTTCTACCATGGACGAGGCTATGGTTATGGTGGGAGGGGTAGGGGATATGGCATGGCAAATCGTACTACGTAGTTAGCAGCTGGAATTTAGTACAATTAGTAGATCAAAGTATTTCCAGAAATGCATGGATGTGTAGACCAAATTGTAGATCCTTCTAATGGCCTTTCATTATACTCTTATAAAAGTTTATGCTTTAGGATTCTTACTATTGAGCTATAAAAAAAAAGGGGACCCCAGAAGACATAGAAGCTTTTCTATGGTTACAGTTATTTTGGCAAGTAATCACAGTTCTGTATTATGTGAATTTCAATTTTGTTTTCATGGTTTCTCATTAAAGATGATTTTAGGACAATTTGGGGAGCATATTATCTAGTCATTGCACCATTCTGGGTTAATGTCTCGTGAAATGTTTAATGTTGATTTTTAATTTAAAAATTTTTTAATATGAAACTTGAATTTTAAATTTTTTAACAAATAATACAATGATTATAGATGATATGTTTTCAGTGAAAAGATTTTTAGGCAAAAAATTGGTTCGTTTAATCATCCAAAATATATATTTTTTTACTTGAGAGAATTAAGCCTATGTCTAGTTGATTTTTTTTTTTTTTCTATTTACACTTTATTAAATAGTAATTTTTCATCATATGATTTTGTTTGAGAAAATTGAGGAATGTATTAAGGAAGCATCATCTAAATAATGATCTTCACAAGGAATGATGTTATAATTATAAAATTATAATTTCATAAATAAATGTTGAAAGGGTTGATTGGTTGCTATAAAAAATTAAAGGTTTTGATGATTTTTTAATTATAATTTAAGGGTTTTTTATATCCTTAGAATAAAATTAAAACTTTCATATCTAGTTATAATTGTTAAAAATTTTACAATTATCTTGACACTATATCATATTTTGAAAATATTTATACAATAAATTTATTATTAATACTTTTAAAAACATCTTTTTCGATTTATGCGATTAAATTATCATTTAATAATTTTTTATTTAATTACATAAATTTTTTAAAATGTTTAATACTGCAAATGTTCTTACAAATCCAAAAGAAAAAAAAAGTTGTCCTTATGTCTTGTGGCCTAGGCCATTAAACACTTACTCTTTTAAGTACACTTAATTCTACAAGAGGAAAATTTAAATGTGAAATTTTTTTTTTAATGTTTGTAAGGCCTTGTGTCCTTAATGTTATCTTTACCATACTGCTTTTTATAACTCTCGTTTGGCATGATCAATGCAGCCATGCTGGCATAAAAGACTGTTCCTGGAACAAAATGCTTCAAAAAATTGGTTCATCTTACAGCATATGCAGATCCACTTAAGAGTGTTCATGAACATTCTCAAAAATTGAAAAAAAAAAATTATAATTCCATCGATAGAGTGTCTTACTTTTATCTCGAGTATTAATGGTCTGTGGGCTGGTTTGAAGTTCCACAATTATAAGGGCATCAACGACTTTTACATTCTACGCTCGTATAAAATATCAATATTTCATGTATTTACATTGTGTTTTATATTAAAGTTTTATGTCATAATTTATATCTTACATGAAAGACATTAAATATATTTTTTATTTTTATAAAATATATATAGTTTTTATTAAAATTTTAACCATTTTACTTTGTATATATATATATATATTTTTGTCGTTTTCATATAATATTATATCATATCATATAGTTTAAATTATCAACTATTTATTTTGAGGGCATTTTGGTTCGTTTTGTGAAGTTATGTGGTTCTTAATGATTTTTATGTTATACTTTTCTTTTGACATTATACTTTTTTATTATTGCATTTATTATCAGTATTTTTTCACAAAAAAAAATATTTTTAAAAAATTAACTCAACATCTATCTTATATTTTTAATTAATGATTATAATATATATAAAAAATATTATAAATTATCACCTGTGTCCTTATTTTTTAAAAATTACTGCATCGTCCGACAACGAATTTTTCATTGATGTTAAAACTTACATTGATTCTATCAATTATTATTGTTATATAATAAAAATGATTTTCAACAATAAATATCTCGAAAATTTATTTACTCTATCAAATAAAAAATTAATGATTAAATGAAAATTTAATTGTATATATTTAAAATATTAATAACAAAATTATTATATAACGATTTCAAAATTTAAAATTACGTTAAAAATGATTATAAATTTTCTAAAAATTATGATTAGATACGAAAATTTTAATTTATTGTTATTATATTCTTTTTATTATTATTATTTTTATAATTTAATATAATTATAACGAACTGAAAGTTTTTCTATCACATATTTGATCTAAAAATTTAATCATAAAACGATATGCAGAAGTTTTTCCGCCAGGCATCCGAACAAAACCTATATCTCAAATTCTTGCAACAGGAAAAAGAGATGGCTCATCCCAACGATGCTATTATATTTGAACAAGCAAGAATGAATCAACTAGCTTAGAGAAACAAGTTTTACTTGGATTAAACAATTTTGGCTCCAGTAGGCAAAAAGCTACACTCATCCGCTAAGCAAAGCAAAATGTTCTCCCCTTGCCCTCCAATTTTTGAATGCCCATAAATAAAAGAAGGAAGGAATATCCTATCGAGGTAATCACATTTGTTTCGATATATACTCTTCGAGCACTTAACCCGCTTGGATTACATCTAGACAAATAGAAGCGGGGTGCCGTGCAATGAAACGAAATGTATGCTGTGGAGGAAAAATATGGGTAGTATATTTCCAGACAAACCATTTACAGTACGACTTACAAAAACACGTATGGATTTGGGAAAAGATCTCCCACGTATTGGGTAGCTGATAAAAAAAAATGGTATCATCCAGGAAATCTGCTAGAAAATCCAACTCTTGCAAGAAAATTGTCAAATCTGCTACAATAATCATCCTTGAACCTCAAGAGCGAAAAACCAAAACAAAACTTGCTACAACAAATGAGATTGCATCACACTTCTGCCCGGAGAGGCGAAAAGATCGCACTCTTCACTGAGTCAGGTTAAAAAAAACCAAAATAACACTGGAAACAATGTGAGCCTATGGCCTTATTCCACGAGGAAGAAAAGAAATTTAACAAAAGAAAACATGTGATAAAAATTTTCTCGCCTTATTGTTCCGTGGAGATTGACCAGAATGATGGTCTATAACATGAGCAAAATTGTTGAGAAGCCTCGGTGATACATTTACGAGCCTTCGAGGACTAGGACCACAGGTGTTCTCTTCTATATTCTCTCACAATGACAGGCACGCTTGTGGGTGGCACCTAAATCAAGAAGAGCAGCTAATCGAGTTACAACTTGTTGCAACATAAATAGGTAAGACAAGTAGCATGGCTGGGAAAGAAAATTGCCCTGGCTTAAAAGCATATTCAATGTTTCTACCAAGGATACCCCAACAAAGCTTTCCTAAAATTTCCTCAACTAAGTCTTAATCATAACATATGTTACTTTTAACTAGGCCTGATAATTTTACATATGACATGATGACATGATATGAAAAAAACATAAAAGCGATATGGTACGGTTTAAAATTTTAGCAAAAACCATATATGGGTTTGGCAAAAAACATAAAATGTGTTTTGTGTTTAACATGTTAACATGAATTGTTAAAAGGCAATTTTCAAATTATACATGTATTTGACATGAAATAAATATACATAGATACATGAATTGCTAGGTCTACTTTTAACAACCAAAAGAAGAAGCATTATCAAATAATAACTTACCATGCCATAATCTGTGATTACCATGGAGACATAATCTGAAGGTGTTGCATCGTAACTGTCAATGAAAAGTTTGGAATTGTCAGTCCTTAGAAGATATACTTAGTTTTACATCAGCAAATTATATATACTTACATTAAATTCAGAAGCTGCAGATTTTCACAATTGACCAAACCATCTAAGTAGTTGATTTCCTCTCTACCATGAACTTTAGAAATGGCATCTGGATTACCTGAAACAGATGGAACAGACACCTAAGCCACTTCCATTTAAGTGACCAAAAAAAGGAAACAAGACCTAGCAAAAGTTAACTCCAAAATCTATTCCCAGAAATGCCTACCAAGCTCGTTAGAACATATTGAATCAAGCTGAACCCTTTCATGAAATTTATATGCTTCACAACACACTAATACAGGTACACGGAATGCATGAGCAACCATAGCAACACAAGCAGTCCCAACTCTTGAGTAAACTGTTCCATTAGACAAAACTGATGAAGCACCCAGAAAAACTCGAGTAACTTCATGCATGATATAAGAAACTGCGTTTACATGAGTGTATGTACAGCTAAGGCCCTTCCTCACCAATCTACGTAGCAAGAGCTGTCCTTCAAGCTTTGGATGAGAGTCAACCACTACAACACGGAATTCTTTGCCAAGCTCATGGGCATGCAATAATATCATCTCAACTGCAGAGGATGCCCCATATGTGAGAAGAACGTCCCCATCACTAATCTTTGTAACAGCATGTTCAACTATCACCTTGTCTGCAAGGATGATCTTTTCATTTATGAAACGATCAATATCCAACATAAGTGTAGTTTTTGCTTCTGATTCTGACAGAGCCAATGGTAATTTTGCAATTCGACTCTTTAAAAACTTGATTGCATTACCCATGCTAATTGACAGTGGCCTGCATTCAATCAAGAAAGAAACATAACTACTAATCCTTGCAGTTAAATCTCTAATTAGAGTTTTTTCTGGTGGAGTTGAGTAATCCTTGATAGCCTCTTTGAACGCTTGAAGCATCGCAATACAACGAGCATTCCCACCGTATATATCTCCAGACAAATACTGCAATCCAACCTGACAAACCAAGGAAAGCCCTATTGAAATGAAAATTCACCAAGACTTTGATCTCTTTTACACAATGATCAAACATAGCTAATGTACTAATAAATAACACAGAGATTCATGGGTGCGGCCGAAGTAAAAATCAATAAAGCATGATTTGCCAAGAACATGTTACTAGGAGATAAGAGTAAGACACCACTCTATAATTAAGGACTATTTTTTCTATACACCAGTAGAGGAGGCTTTTAATTCCACGTAGTTTTATACAATTTCCAGGGGTCCATTTAATTATTAATTATTGTTTAAATATATCCTAAATGGACATTATCAACAATTTGAATCTGCTTATGGAGTTAAAAAATACTCCACTGACAGTGTATACATATATGCATACATATATGTGCATTTATATGGTTTAAGCATGTATAAATGCGTGTGTGCAAGTGAACTGTTTTTCCATAAGAGCACCAAGTCAAGTTTGTAGGAATACCTTGTAGAGAGCAGGATGCATTGGATCAAGCTCAAAAAACTTTGTCTCTAAATCAGGAAGCTGAGTTCCATGTTCATATTGAGGCAAATGCCTGAACAGTTCCACTCTATTCCTAGCTTCAGTTTGTTTTACAACAGCACGCTTTTTGGCTTTCTCCACCCGGCTTGTATCATCATATTGCATTCGTGGATGAGGAGCATCTTTCTTTCTATCTTTCTCAGGTGCACGATCACCTCCCTTCTTATCAGAAGCTGCAACTTGAGAACCATCATTCTTTTGTGAAGAGGGTTTTGTGGCTTTAATTGGTTTTGTATTTTCTGAGGTCACAACCTTAGATGCAGAGCTTGATGCCTTACTTCCTTCAGCTAATAACACGTTGTGATCAAAAGGAACACATTATGAGTTATTAAAGGATTTTTTTTAAAAGGTGAATTACACAAGACAAAACAAATAACTATAAGTCAACAGCATACTCATTTAGGTTTTGAGTCCTGTTTAGAGAATAAACTGAGTTTTAGATGTACAAATAGGAAAAGCTGTATGCAATTAAAATGCAAGCATGGTTTGGGAGCAAGAAGTCATTTAAACAAAGCTCTTGGGCATAAAAAAAGGGGGAAAAAAAAGCCAAGTAGCAACATGTACCTTTTGCAGCAGCTTTGGCAGCTCGTTGAGCCTCCTGCAGGGCACGTCTTTCAGCTTTAGAAGTTTTCTCTTTCAATGGCTTTGAACTAGCACGTCGATCATTCTGTACTTCAACTGATGCTCCACCAGCCTCTTCCGCAGTCAAAATTTTCCCTTCAACTTGTAAACACTTCATATTCAGAATTCTTTAGAATGACGAAAAAAAGACTCTAAATACATCCAACCATTAACCATAAACAAATTAAAAGAGTTTCAATTTGTTTTGACCACACATGAAAGGAACTGTCTTTCATTCTTCATATTAAGAGATCCTTTTCCCTCCAAGGATTATAAGTTATTGCTAGTCACTAGCTTTCGGTTAATATTCATCCAAATAAACTCATCCCAAGAAGGAAAGAAAATAAAAAACCCACAAAAAAGAGATAAAATAATGTAATGTAAATATCAGCAAACCAAGAGAGAGGCTAAACTGTTAATCACTTATTCATATTTCTAATAAAGCTATTTTTCCATAAATATGTAACTGAGCCAACCCAACTCACAAGCTACTTTAACTCGTTACAGAAAATAATTGAATTCAGTTTATAGCTGTAAGTCAAGCTCAAGTAATCCATCGAGCCAAGTTTGAGTATAATCATACTTCATTCGAGCCTCTTTAGACCTGATGAAACATTCTAGTTTTTTTTTTTTCCTTTATATATTTTTCATATAATTTGTATTAAAATATGTTTTACATTATTTAATGAAATTGAGCATAGTTTAGCTTAACTGGGTCAAGTCAAGCAGCTTGGTTTATTCTCGAGTCAAGTTCACATTTGAAAATCGAAACTCGATCGAACTCTACTCCAGTTTCAAACCCTGACTTTGTAATTGAGCTCGAGCTTGAGCTGTCTACTCTATTGAGTTCACTCAGTTCAACTACACCCTCCCGCCTAAACATTCCAAATTCCTTAAAACTTTGCACAAAGAAAAAAAAATCAAATATACAGAGAATCAACTTCATGAAAATGCCAAAATCTTTGAAATTTTCACAAAGTGACCACTTACCAGAGATTCCTAGAGCCAAATTAACCACCGACACAGTGGTGAGCTCACTCGCGGGTACACTACTCGCCTTGACGCCCGAAAATGAGGATGGCGATTTCCCGTAAACGACCTTTCGACCAGGCGATCGCAAGTCTTTGTTTTCAGGGGGAATCATTACAGTTCGAGTGGAAGGCGAGAACGGCTTCGTGGGGGAGGTAGCTTGGAGAGCCGTACGGAGGAGAGCGTCGGAATGGTGACGTGGCGGAGGAATCATAACAGGGGAAAGTGAGCTATCGGAGGGAGATCGATCGTTAACCGGAGGGGAAGACTGTGAGGGAGATTGGATCGGGTCGTGGTGACGTGGAGGATCCGAAATGGCGTGGTCGGGTGGTGGTGTGAAGAACCCCACTTGACGGACCTTCGGGTCGCTGACTGTTCGAGCGGTTCGACGAGGGTCCATATGTTTGGAACGAGTGTTTGGTTCGTCCGATTTTTATTTTTTTTTTATTTAAGGGGATTCATGAAGGAAGGTTTTCTCGGGAAAATTTGGGAATTTAGGGTTTTAATGGAAGAGTTATGTAATGATGTGACTTTGCGTAGACAAGAACTTTTTTTCTTTTTTTAAATAAAATTGTTTTTCTCTTCCCTTATTTTGTTCTTATCCCTAAGCTTTTTTCATTTTTGGATTTTTCCTTAATTGGGCCAAAAAATCCTTCTCTTTTTTTAATAATATATTTTTGAAAATCAAATTATTATTAAAATATGTTTGATTAGTAAAATTTTAAATTTTGAGAGAAAATATAATTTTTGAGAATTTGTGATACTTAAATTTTTTTTATTTTTAAGACATCATATATTTAGATTCACTTATTTGATTGAAAAAATTTACGTATATTAATTCTTATAAAATTATCATAATATATTTGATAGATATAATGGTAACTTTTCATTTAATTTTATTAAAAATAAATACCTAAAATAACAAAGAAAAGAAAACAAATATTTTAATTGATTTTTTTATAAAATTTCATCAATTAAAGCATTTTTTATCTTTAACTACTTAATTAAGACATTTTACTTTTTTGATAAAAGGATCAATCATTTAAGGTATTTTTATATACAAATACTTTAATTGAGAAACTTTTTTTTAATTGATCATTAGGCATAAATATTTTAAATGATCTTTTTTACACCTTAATTAATGATATTTTATAAATAAAAAATAATAAATTAAGTCATAAAAAATAAATGGATCATTCAAAAACACCTTAAATGATCTTTTTATTTTTGCTACGCCTTAATTGATGATATTTTATAAATTAAAAAAATCAATTAAGTGGTAAAAAATTAATTAGATTATTAAAGGTATTTTTATCTAGAAACACTTTAAATAATCATTTCATTTTTTCGCTTTAATTGATGATATTTTATACATAAAAAAAATCAATTAAATCGTAAAAAAATAAAAAAATCATTTAACTGAAATGCCTTAAGTGATCTTTTTATTAAAAAAATAAAATATCTCATTTAAGGCATTTATGTCCATAAACATCCTAAATGAGACATTTTATTTTTTTAGAACTAATTATTTAATGTGTTTTTGTCCAGAAATGTCTTAAATAATTCTTTTATTTTTTTGACACCTTAATTGATCAATAATGCCTTAATTGAAAATTTTTTTATAACTAATCATTTAAGGCATTTTTGTACAAAACACCTTAGATGATCATTTTTATAATATATAAAATGGATCAATTAAGGCATTTATGTTCACAAATGCCTCAATTAACCATCAAGTTATTTTTAAAACTTATCAATTAAGGTGTTTGTGTTTACAAATGCCTTAATTGATCATTTTAAAAGATTCATTCCCCGTTCTTGAATTTTAAAAAATCAAGTGGTTAATACAATTGAACAATAAACAGTTGCAAATGCATGTATTTCCTTAAACCCATCAATCCATTTACTTTGCATTTTGGTTTTTTCATCTTTCTCGTTGCCCCCGATCATCAACTACTTAATATTGTTGCACCTCGTTTTTACTAGTATGCACATATTTTTTCTTTTTATACTATTTATATTCTTCTATATATGTCATTTTTTCCTTTCCTTATTATATATATTTATTTTTATTTGTATAACCATTTACCATTATCACATATGTTGCACAATCTCCTTTCATTACATACATGGTTTTTTCTTTGTTATTTAGGGTGATTATTGTGGTTTGCTAAATGATTTTGTATAAAATAGTTGTTATATTTGTACTCATTTGTTTTGCATGGGACTCTTATCTTATGATGAAATACGGTATGGCTTGTACCTTTATAATATTATTGATTTTCTTATGTTTATGTATATTGTAGTGGATATTGGTTATTTTAACTGTGTGATATATAATGAAACAATTTAGTGTATCTTGTATAATTTTGATCAAAATCGTAAGTATTATGAAATCACCTGACCATCTACTGAACATGAGAAGACACACCCTTAATGAAAAAAAACAAAGGGACATGATAAAAAAATTAAAGCGACAAAGATGAAAATTCACGTCGAATCTAATCAACATGGGCAGCCTGTGTTGAATTGAGTGTAAAGTTGGCTAGCCATATTGGAGTGGTCATCCTGTATACTATTTCTATTATGTACCACAATTGATAGATAGTTCCTAATGATAAAATGATAGCATATGGGAGTCAATTGTGGTATATTTAGTCAACAATACCCAAATTTTAGTTAATTTGAATTTTGATATGAATTAATGTGTTGATACTAATTGTTTTAAATTTATTAAGAACGTTTTGACATCCTAACTGAGTATAAAAGGCTTGTATTGCAATCGACTGAAAAAATATTCAAAGACTTTAAGAACAGATTGACAACCTAATATATTTTACTATTCATTAATAATTCTAAATTGTTGATTGATCCTCCATCGTCATATGTAGATGTTACCAATCATGAAAAATGATTGTAGTTTGTTCGAGATTGTTTATTAAATGAATTTTCGGTATATATACCTAGTTTGTTATTTGTTTATAATATTTTGTTTAATATATTTGAAATCCTACTATCAAACTTACCTTTTTTTTTTCAAGAAAATCATAGAACAACAAAAAAAATTTCAGGCCAAATAAGTATATCACCATCGGACATTGAGAAAGAGTGGTTATGCAAATGTCCTGTATGATCTTATAAGTATTCACATGTTTGTTTTGTACTCCTATATGAATATTTATGAACATGCAAACATAGATTTTTTTCTTATATCGCTTTAATTTTTCAAGAATCATCTAGCTTTGGAATCGAAGTTTCTAGATGGGATGTGTAGAAAAAAAGATATATGCACAAAGATAGATCGTTCGCAATGAAGCAACTAAAGAAATAGCTAAAAAGATTGTAAGTAAAATTCATGAATTCATCACATATGATATGTTTGTGCTTGTGTGCATGACTATAAATTGTACATGGTTTGTTATGCATTATCTTTTTGTGTTTCAAGATGAATTTGGAACAAGATATGAATATGATAAACTGCTAACTAGTTATGGCAAAGACCCTTTGTCTTTAGCATTAAAATATAAAGAAAGATATAGTCGAGTTTGAGAGATTAGTAGATTTGTATTGCCATCACAATTCTTTAGTAATCAACCCAAACCTCCTCATTGAACAATACAAAATGTAAAACTGTTTATTGTTATCATATAGCTTCATATATAGAAAGATAATGACAAGATAAATGACCCATACATTTAGATTCATTAACCCAAATTTGATTAGTCATGACAGTGCCACTATCATTATTCGTGGTCATCATATGGGTCAATATATACGACAATGGGCGGATTATTTACTGGTGCCTTATAATTCTGCATAAGTTCTATTCGTAGTATAATTGTATTATTTATGACATCTAATATCATGCCTATTATTTTATTATCATACTTAATATTTTTTGGAAATCATTGGTAACTTATTGTAATTTATACTAATTCATGGACGTCATACTTATTTAATTGCGCTCAACCAACGACGATACCTAAACCCGATATTGCCAATTTAATAAAGAGATATTTCATGTTATCAATAAGTGGTAATTACATTATATTATGTTTCTTTATATTATAATAATTTTTTTACTATTGTTTTTCTATTCAATTTAGGGGAATGACTACAATTGATAATAATAGAAAGATAAATTTGGTGTCATTACTAGTAAGTGTAAAATATATTCTTTTATGCTGAGTTTGTTTAAATAAATGTTTACCAACCGATTCAATGTTATATTTCAGGTACCTTATTAGCCAGGAGTTACTGAATATGAATATTATGTCTTTTTTTTTACGAGGAAAATTGTTTTATATGATTTTATGAACACATTATTCAAAGTTAGTATTAATTTCATATAATAGTAATATCTTTAAAAAATAAAACATAGATATTATGCAAGTTGAATGACATTAACTTCTTTAAAATTTTATAATGGAAGAATAAAGAAGCTTTGCGAAAGACAAACTAGATGAAGTTTGCAAAGAATGGGTTAAGTATGTATTAGGTTTCGCTAAACATTGATGTTAGACAATATTTATTGGCTGTAAATATATGTATTACATTAATCTAATTTTTTTGCAAAGGCTGAATGATTGGATATTTGTTAATTTTGATTGGTTTATTGGTTTATATTTGTTTTATATCATTTGCATTATATCAAGACATATACAACATTGACCACTAAACATTGTTCTATCAATACAAGTGTGTGATATATAAATCCAAATTGTGTGGTCATTTAAACAATTACGATTTTTTTGTCTTAATAAAAATATGAAATTCGTAGTAATACAAATATTTATTTGATTCACACAAGTACGATATCCATTATAAACAAATGAATGTATAACATGCCACACAAATTTATATATTTACAACTAAACCATTCATGCCTTAATTAGATAAATATGTTTACAAATTTATTGTATGAATATGGTATACAAAATGTTATGTGGTCTACATGTGTCCAGGAAAAGGAAAGTCAAACAATGGGCAATATGCATTACATGTGTTTAACTATTTTCTAATGTAATTACTTTTAAATATAGCCGATATAGTAAAGAAAAACTCAATTTTGTGATTTTCTTTCAACATGTACTCATTAGTAGTGATGATTTCATTAGGCATGAATTCATTAAGTTGCATTATTTTACTAAAAAATGACTTTCTTCTATTCGTATTCTCGACTTCTATTTGAAAGTGAGCCAAAATGTCCTCAATTACATTCACAACCATATTATATGATGCACCAATTTTACCAATGTTATCAACTAAATTAGCAATTGGTCTATCGCCACTCCTAAAACACTTATTGCCTAACAATATCATCCTAGCATTGCTTGGAACAACAGAACCAATTTCTTCTTCATCTTCTCCCTTTATCCTTATTTTCTTCTGTATTAATATAAAACTCTAGAGAGAAGTAAGCATCCTCATTAGTATTAAATGATTCAACTGTATTGGTTGTTGTTTTGCCTTTGACCAATTACTCTATCAAATCAAAAAATCACTTTAAAATCATCAAAGAATGGAAATTGTTTGTTCTTTAACCATTTAGCATAAACATGTAGCTGCCAAAAGTTCAAACAAATACGAATCAAATAAAACCCATAGAAAAAAATATATATTAGTAAGGTAAGCCATAACGTAATCTTAAAAAACTTACCCAAACTCACTAATCAAAAACTTGTTTCTCAACTATGATACATTTTTCTTAATCATACCACCCAAATCTACTAGAATTTTTCATTTCACAAATTGCATGATATTGTCTCTTCAACAACTTAATTTTGGATTCGATATAGGGTTGGCTTTAAGTCGTGAAGTGAAAGTGAGTTGCTTTAGCATACATTCAATATAACCAAGATATTCGACACGGAATGTCCCATTATCCGCTTTCCATCTAAGATCTACAACCAAAGAATATAGGTATTGAAAAAGATAGGAATCTTACTTTCAAGGCCATGAATGGTTACCTATGCCCAAACTTTCGTTTATTCTTTTAGGTAAACCTCAGGCCAATTGTGATGGATTGGCATGCAATGAAGACATGTTCAATTCCTAATCATATGGTTAGACATTATGCAACAATATCAATATAGCAAATCAAAAACCCATCAAAGGAATGAAATAAACGAATAGACATCGAAAGAAAATAAAGAAATGTGTACTCCAATTTGTAATATACATTGGACACTCAAGAAAAAAAATATAATGTAAACATATATTCAACATTGATATAAAGCAAATTCGACACTTAACCATATGGTAAATATAATAAAAACCATTGAGTAAATGTTATAACATACAAATCATTTCTATAATGTTATTATCCTTGGGATTGCAACCAATAGATGAAAATCTCATTAGCCAAATTATCTTTAGACTGAATCAAATAATCAGATGACTCAACATTCATAATCAAATCTTGATGTTCAGAATCATCTTATGGCTAATACTTTCTTCAGTAACATCACCTTCTGTATGTTTTAAAACCATCTCAGACCTAATAAAATTATGGAGAAAGTAACAAGCATAAATGATTCTATACTGTTTCTTTATTAAATAAAATGATTTTTTTCTTAAAATTGCCCATCTAGCTTTCAATATACCAAAATATCTCTCACTACAATTTTTTGTCTAAGAGTATTTCATATTGAAGTATTCTTGCGGGGTCATTGGTTGGAGTCTTGCCCTCCAATCACTAAAATGGTATTGTTTACCTCTATAAGGTGCCAAGAATCTTTTCTCATTTGTGTATCTGGCACCACACAAATAGTAATTACCTATTATCCAATTAATAACATTAATAATATGGAAAAAAAGGTGTTTCATTAATAACATAACACGAACATAATAAAAATAGTACCTTGTGGGATTTTCAACCCATTTGTACGTGTAACAGCATCTTTTAGCACTTTATAATCTGTTGCAGAACCTTCTAATTCTGACAGAACGTATATGAATTGCATACTAAAATACAAACACCAAGGACATTGGTAGCAATTTCATTTTTTCTTGTTCTATATCTAGGCTGTCAATTGCATCTACATTGACTTTGATGTATGTCTCATCTAAAGCACCCAAACAACCCTTGAACCATTTTCATCTATTATCTGTTGATTTTTTTTGTATCAATTTGGATTTTTTAAACAACAGCATATACAATCTTAAAACAGAACCCAACATCGAATGAAATTATCTATTAATCGTCTCTCCAGATCTGGCCACTTAATGTTTCATAACCTTATTTTTGTATGATAGACAATGATATGGAGGAAGCTAATAACTAGTTCTTCTATTGATATATGTGTAGATGACTATAACCCCTTTCTGTTTTAAGCAAATGACATAATTTTGTAAAAGTTCTCTTGTCTATTCTAACATATCTATGTACTATCTATCACTCTCAAATATCATTGCATTTAAGTTTAACTTTATAATATGTAGCCTATTATAAGATGTTTCACCATAAGATAGTCTATATTATTTTTAATGCTCATATTTAATAAAGTTACAGTAACAAAACATAACAAATGTAACAAAGTCTCTACCCGGTTTGAATGCATCATACGCAATATAACCAATTGCATCTTCATTCTTAGTGATAAACCAGTCATAACTGTTTAAAAGATAAAATATCATTAAAGTTGAAAACATAAATAGAAAGCAAATCTTGGCATATGATAAATGGAATATATCAAACATCATCAAAGAAAATATAAATCAGCAACAAAACATTTTTGGATGAAGGAGCTAAAACAAAACAATCACAAAATAAGGTGATTATATCATAAACATAAATTTAAATCTAAACAACATCTACAAATATAAAAAAAAAAATAAAAACATTGGAAGGCAATAAATAATGCAAACTAAATAAAAATATCAATAAAAAAATATACACGTCATTTTTTGTAAAAAAAAATAAAGAAAACAAAAATTAAATGACAGATATTAAAGTTGAAATTGGTTCAAAGAGAAAAATAAATGCTATGAGCTAAGATATGTTGAAATAAAAATTAAAAATGTATTGGGTATTGAAACATGATAAAACATCAAATAAGGCGTTCCATATATACAAATACCTTATTTGATGTATAAAATATAATCTATTCTGCTTCACGATTAAACATTATAACATTCATATTTCAGAACACAATCTTCGAAAGAAAAAATAAAATTTTAATATGCGACAATTAAAACGTTTGTATGAAGAAACGCCTTAATTGATAACCACGTAAGGCGTTTCTCTTTACAAATACCTTAATTAATGGACGCTTCTTTGAAAATCATCTATGTCATAACACAATCTTCAAGAGAAAAAAATACATTTATCATAAAATTATCAATTAAGACGTTTCAATGAAGAAACACCTTGATTGATGATCAATTAAGGCGTTTGATGAAGAAAATGCCTTCATTGATGCATTAATCAATTGCATGAAATGCCATAATTGATGATTAATTATGGCATTTTTTCATGCCAAACGCCTTAATTGCAATAAAAAAATAAAAATACCATTGAACAATTGAGTTTTAGTCATTTTCAAACATGCATTTTAAAAAAATAACGACTATGTGATAATTTTTTATTCATACTAAATTTGAAAATAAGATAATTTTTCTCTTCCGAAATTTTAGAATACTATAAAAAGAAGTATGTTTTTAATTTCGAGACTTTTGATATTATTAAAAATTTGACATTTTTTCCTGTAATTAAATTATCATGAACCGAACGTGAGAATCAAATAATTACTATCAAGATTTTGATAAAAAATTTATGAATTCTCTTCAACCAAGCGCACTCCTAATATTTTCCTATTTATTTCAAAGCTCTCAAGTAATAGTTTTAGATATTGGCCAAAAAAAATAATAGTTTTAGATTGAATTTGGCTAATAATAAGCATTAAATTGTTTGATTTTGTATTTATTTTTTATAGATTATCATGTGCTAAACTAAATCTATGTATTTATATTGTGTTCATATTATATCAAACATGTATACAATATGAAAAATTATTGTATCAAATTCAAAAAATATAAAATATATTTTTTATTATTTTTATTAAATTCATATATAATTTTTAAAAAATTTTAAATTATATAATTTTTATTTTTTATATTATTTTTTATATCATGTTTAAATTATTTAATTTATGTTAAAATAATTTGTACCTATCTCACTTATAAAAATTATAAAATTTCATTGACGAAAATTATTTATTTATTTATTATTTATATTTTTATAAACCCCTACCCCAAAATTTATTGATAAAATCTAAAAACTTTACCAACATTTAAATTTTATGGCATCAAATCAAACACCTAGAATCATCATCGGATAAATTTCAATTATCTTGAAAGGTGGATGACACAGACACAAGATTGAGCGAGTTTAATCTTTCAAGTAAGCCAGATCCTCTCACTTAAAGTTCAAACCAACCCCTTGGCCAATTTAACCTATCAAATGTCCCTAATTCAAGTAGAGACAGTGATAACACAATAAACATCAAGAAACAAACCGGCAAACAACCGCCGCAAAGATTAGATCTGCCGATACTAATATTCATATTATATTAAATACTGAAATTCATATATTAATATCATTTTTTATATAAAAATTACATATCATAATTTTAATTAATATAAAAATATAAATTTTTTTTTGCTTCATTAAACTTATATATAGTTAATACCAAAATTTCATATTACTTTTATGTTTTTTTTTTTTATTGTGTTTGTGTTATATCACTATATTATATTTAAATTAACAAATCTAATATTAAACCTAACAATTTTAAAATATGATAAAAAATTAATATAAAAAATATAAAAATATATATGTTAGAATTTAATAAAATTTATGAGTTTAATAAAAACTAAAAAATATATTTTATGATTTTTGAAATGGATTATAACAAATAATTTTTATGTAAAACATAAAATAAATATATAAATTATCAATGTAGGATACAGCTGATATACTGTTGAATTCGAAGGACAGAAAGGCGAAAACACATATTTTCTAATTTCTTATCTGTTTAAGAAATTTTCCATCCATTTCGAGCATACCTTGAAAATCTGGTGGACTGATACCACCGACTAAAAGCGGATGCATTGTCAACGAATTTAAATCAAGAAGATGAAATGACAAAGGGCAAGAGATTAAGAACAGCTGATATATAAGTGTTTAAAGTATCAATGATGCCAAAAGGGGTCTGCATGAGGTAAAGCAACACATCATGTTATATAGTCAATCCTTGATTTGGATAAAATAAAATCCATGAAAAGTCATTCAGCAGTGACATTCACCTAGAGATGCATTTAAGTAGTCGGTGAAAATCACATAAAACTAGGGCATACTGGTCCCTTGGATAGGCCAAGGCGAACTTCCATGCTATGGTGCAAGTCCAGTGGCCGTACAGTCTCGGACTCTTGAGGATCTGCAGCCACCAACAAAAACTTCAAATTATTGCTAAGCACAAAATAAACCAAAACCATACACTATTCCATTGCCCAGCTTGCTGAGCGACGAATCTGCATCTTTAAAGGACTGTGATGTAGGAACTTAGGGTGGAAAAAATAAAAAAACTAATTCAAAACTGTAGTATTTAGTTAAGATCGGTTTTTTATTCACTTCAATTTAAGTTCGAATATTAAATATTTTTATTAAGAACTAATTCAAAACTGTAGTATTCAGCTAAAATCGGTTTTTTATTCACTTCAATTTAAGTTCGAATATTAAATATTTTTATTAAGTTCAAATCAGAAAGTAATAAAACCAAATGATCCAAATCAAATTAAATTGTATATTTTTATTAGTCTTTATATATATTTTAAATTTTGATAAAATAAAATTAATACTTTTATATCTAAATTTATTTAAATATATTAAAAATTATATTAAAATAATATCAAAAAATAAAAAAAATAAATAAATTTCAATCCAATGAACCAAACCAAATCGAATTGGTAGATTTCAGTTCGGATCAAATCGATTATCGATTTCAAGGGGAAGTCGGTTCGAATTCGGATCTAATTTTAAAAATTCATAATACTATGTATAATCCAAAAAAGCCAAATCAAATCTAATCCGAACAATTATCACCCCCTTAAAAGAACATTGCAAGAAATGAATCATCATTCATTCATCTCAAACAACATACATTGTAGTGCAAATATTACCAATTTTCAGGTAAGCAGACTAAAATCAATGACACCTGGCCTAATCAACAGAACGGATAGTAGATGGAAAGTGGAAAACATAATCATAAGAAATGGCAACCAAATTTACAAAAGCAGCATATACAAGTTTCTAAATTTTCCTATATATTCGATGCCATATAAATTCAGCTGAACTTTTTGCAGGAAAAAAGGGGAACCAGATTTATATCTTTTCAATATCTAAAACCTTGGCTTAGAGCCAAAGAGTTGAAGGCAAATGACAATAGGAAATGTAGGAAAAAAAATGATTGTGAATGCTTATTCTGACACTAAATGACTGTTAGATAGCAATTTACCATGTCTTTCATACTTAAAGGAAAACTAATGACATAAAAAAGAAACGACACTGACATGGTAATATAACTCCAAACATGAGACTGAACTGACCTTCCTCAAGTCCTTCACCGATGGACATTGGTCAGTAATCATGAGGGATGCAATCAAGCAAATAGAGACTTGAAAAGATTACCAAGTACCATACAATGATGTTGACCAATAGTAATTTTAAATAGAAATTTCAAGCAAAGATTATCAAGGGGCAAATTTGTACAATAAAATTTGCAAAAAAGAATTTCTTTTGTATTTAGTGTGTATTGTTATACCATTCAGATAATCCTCAAAGCCAAAATCATCCAAAGTTCCTGTTAATGCTTCCAACCCTAGCATTGAAGATGGGAGCAATGGCCTCTGGAACCTGCATAATTTTCAAAGAACATACAAAAAGGATATTTAGCAGTGTGTACTGAATCTGCTTCTAGCAACACTAAAGACATCATACACCATCTACATCCAAGGCAGGTATTTCGGGTCAGGTTAGATTTTGCCACCTCTAAGCTAGACTATAAAAACACATTAAATTTAAGAAAAAGTGAAAAAGAACAAAGAAATTACCAGTTGTTTTCTCATAAAAACCATAGTTTGATTAAAAAAGTGAATGAGTTTTTTAGTTGCATACCTTTTCAGAAACCACTAACCAAAGAGATTTCTTACCAAATAGGATTCAACCCCAACTCTACTCTCTCTGAAGAAAGAAACTATAAATAAAAGAAAGCAAACAAATACCAAATAGATAAATAGTTATGCATCTCTTTTAAGCCCTATCAAGGTCATAGAGGCAGCTTTAGGTGCAAGCCTCCAATGAATTGCAATTCATCATACAAATTGTTCTTTAGTCCCATACAACAACCTCCCAGTCACCACACAGCACATAGGATCCTTCATTTAGCCTCCAAGATAAAATAGAACAAGACAATCCTTCAAACTACAGTTCATTTAAATGTATGTCTTATTTTTGTATAACTACTCCACATAAAACAGAATCATATGATCATTGAAACTATAGTAACTTAAATATAATATAATCCAGCTGTTTCAGCATTAAAAGAAGCAAGCACCTTAAAATGTTCACCTTACTCCCTTGAAATAGAATATATATATATATATATATATATATATATCCCTTGAAATATGCAAGGCAGATATCACAAACAGCCGATATGTCAGCATTGGGATGAAACATTACTTAGTTACTCAAACATCACCTAATACTATAATCTTTTGAGGTCCCCAATCTCTACCTTAAAAACCATTTCCAATTTCTTCATCAAATAAGTCCTGACTGTAAAATCTCACATCCAAGAGTCCATAACCAATAGGTTGTATAATTCTAAAAAGGTTGACTGATGTAGGTGTATAGACCAGAAGGAACCATACAAGATATGGAGCCAGTGTCAAGCTACATTTGACCTCTCTTATTGGCTCAACTCACAAAATAATGTTCTTGCAATTCATATAGCACTGTTGTTTCTCCATGAAAATCATGATTTCATCTTCCCAACTTTCAGCTCAATTGCTCTTCTCCAACCTGGACCTATATTTGACTTCCCTACCCTTCTTTATTGCCAGCACCTACAACCAGTGTTGTCAATGGTGCAAGGCTCACTCTAGGCGCTAGAACCCTTATATTGCCCAAGGCACAAAAAAAGCATTCACTTGAGTGAAGTCACGTGCAATATGTATATGTGTGTGTTTTTATATGTGTGTCTGTGTATATATATAAAAGAAGCTTAAGATATATAATTCTGATAATAAACTCTAAACAGCAGTCTAGTTTATCCTACAAAACATGAAAAAATTTTCTTGTTCTTTTGTGCCAACATGCATGATTTCTTTATTGTCCCGTTTTTGTTGTTGAATACTCAAACATTGTGATGTAGAGAGTTTGATACTGTCCCCTTTTTTACTATTAAAGTTATGGTTAATGAAAAAAATTAAAAATTAAAGAAATTAAAGAGAACTTCAATCAGGTAAAGGCTTTTTGTGCCCACTGCCTTACAAAAAAGCACGCCTAGGCATGCTCCTGATGTAATGCAACTGGCCTGAAAGGCTCTAAGGGCGCTTTTGTTTTCTGGCACTATGCATGTCTTAACAACACTGCCTAAAACTAAATGATGCTTACTGGACATAAGAAGCTAGTTAGCAAAAAAAAGATCATAATTATTCCAGTTCTTTATTCTTATCCTCTTCCAACTTTAATCTCCATGTTTACACTGTTTAATCAAAAGATAGTCCAAAATAGCTCATATAATTATTTCATCAGGCAAGACAAAATCCTAATTATTGAGAGAAGTAGAGCAATTTTTTACTAAGCATAAACAGCCAAATATTGGGCTTAAAAGGACTAGGAATTCATCATAAACATCTCATACCGCGAGAGAATTTGCCTATCGAGATCCATTTTGAGTGGCAATGCTGTACCATAAGTATTGGCCAGGACCTTTCTCCTCATCTCCTCCTGTGTTTTCTTTGCCTATAACAAACCCATAACAAAACCCCAATTAAATAATATTCCAATCTCAATACTACAAAATCTAATAAAAAATTTAAAACAAAATAAACCGACCAAAAAACTATCCTTAATTTCACAAGAACAATCTAGCTTCTATTTTTCTTTTCCAGTAATGAAAAACCCTAATACTATACATAGTTTTTTAATTTTATGCAGTAATACAACTATTTTACTCGTGCTTTTGGTTTCTGGTTAGTGAAGCTAAAAAGAATAAACAAAAGGATTCCATTGACTATAACTTCCCTTGTTTTCTTGCATTTTCTCGTAAAACAAACAGAGGAGGGGGAGAAATTACAGATTCGTAGGCAGATTGGAAAGGGTGAGATCCAACGAGGTCGCTTTTAACGCCGTTGAGACCGAATCGAAGCGCGTCATTTTGAACTCCTCCGATTTCGTGCTGAATCGTCTTTGATGCCTCCATTTTTCTTTTTTTATCTTTCCTTTCTTTCGGCTCTTTGGAATTTTTATAGGCTGTTCGTTTAGGCATGGCGTAGCTTTGCAAGCAAGAAAAGGCTAAAAAAGAATTGGCACAGTAATTAGAGAACGGCGTCGTTGTTACTCATTCAACCAGACGACACCGTTTGCATTTATATATGTGCTGGCATTCCATTTGAGGCCCAACTTTTGTTTTTTGTCTAAGATAGTGTTACGGTCACTTTAAACTCTAATTATTTCAAAGTTAGGTTAAAATTTATAAGAGGATAAATTTTTTTAAATTTTTATTTTTATTTATAAGATTCAAAACTAAAATTTTATTTTAAAAAATTTAATTTTTTATTTAACAGACGATATATGCGACCCAACTTTGATCTCACCCTTTGATAGTATTTTTTTATAAATAAGTATTTTAAATGATCAAAATACTTTCCAAACGGATGGTTCACATGATAAAAAAGTAGTGTTTTTTATAAATATAGAATCTCTTTTTTTTCTTGGCCTACTCGTATTTTATGTACTAAAAAAATGTGTAAATTTAAATCCGTTAGAAGAATATAAAAACGTAACTTTTTTATAAATTTAATAAGTTTGACGTAGATAAAATATGTTTGAATCGAACGAAAATAAATGACTAAAATATTAAAAAAATTAAATTATTTATTTTTTAAAAATAAGTTTATATATTTATTTTATTGTATTTAAATAAATTTTTATATTTTTATTTATATATAAAGAAATTTTTATTTCAAATGAAGAATATCATGTTAAGAGTTTATTTAAGAATAAATTAAAAGTTTAAAAGTTTATTTAAATATAATTAAAAATTAAAGACTTATTTGATTATAAATTAAATATTAAAAACTTATTTGAATGTAAAAATATATATAATGGCTTATTTAAATAAAATTGTAGAATTTAATAACTTTCTTTATTATTTTAGTCTAAATAAATCTATTTAAACCGATTTGAACAAAAAGTCTATCAGATAAAATCTAAAAACCTCTGATCATTAAACGAAAAAAAAGTCAAATTGTGTTGTTCATCCCTCTACTTTGGTTAAATAATGAAATTAGTTCATTTACTTTAATATGTTCAAATTAGATCCCTATACATAAATTAATTGTTGAACTTAGTCAATTTGTTAAAGTTTAAACTTTTTTCGTTAAAATTGATGAAGTGGCATTTGACTTTTTTGATTTAACATTTTTTGCTTATATAACTATTGACTTCATTGATGTGTCAAATTTTTTATGATGACTATTATGTGAAACACAAGCTAATGAAAATCTTTATACAATAAGTAGTCAATGCCCACCTTAGGGCAATTAACTGCATTAGCTAGAAGTCAGTCAAGTCAATTCTTAACCATAAGGAAATCGATTGCTATTAATTAAGAGTTTTTTGAAAATTGATTTAGGCTATAAAAGTTTATTGCTATATAAGAAAAACCATTTTAAAAATTGATAGGAGTCAATTGCTTTAATGATGAATGTATTTTAAAAATTGATAGGTGTCGATTACTCTAAAGAGAAGCCAACTGTCCTGCCTTAAATAACAATCTAAAAATTGAAAATACAAAAGATCAGTCGACTACCTTTTAAGTAGAATCGAGTACTTTGTTAGAAAAATAGTAATTTTTAGAAATAAGAAAAATAGTTTCTCTTTGTATGAAAGTTTGATAGTTTAATAAACTAATTTGTCCTTAACTATTTAGGACATATTTCTAGTAAAAAAAATGTGATATTTGATTAAAATAATACTATCAAAAAGTCACAACCTTATGATTCAATCTTTATAAATAAAGATTTTTGTGAGTTCACTTGAGACATTCAAATTTTCAAATTTTGTTCTTTCTTTTCTCTCGTTCTTTCTCAATAAAAGGTTTTTTTTTTCATTGTTTGCTATAGAAAAATTTGTTAAAGATATTTTTGCTTCTCATTAAAAGGGTTTTACGGAGCATTTGGTTCAAGAGAATCTACAAATTTTTTCTCAAAATTTTGATGGTAGGTATTTAATTACCATGTTTAATTCAAGATAATCCGATTAAGGGGAAAGTAACAACTTCCTAATAGTTTCTAAAGTCCCAGAATAAAAACCCTATATCTCCCTAAGGTATTTTAGAATTTCCTAAAAAAAGTTGTCTTATTTTTAAATTTGACTTGAATAAAAAATAATAAAATAGTTATTATTCTTTTAAAAAAACATGCATAGAAGTGACTGCACTCAATTGTAGATTTTTGTTGTTAAATTTTTTTTTATATTACAATTAATAATATTTAATATAAAAAAATACCTTAAATAATTTATTATTTAAGGTATTTAAATTAAAAAAATGCCATAAATAATGATCATTTAAGGTGTTTTCCCCGATAAACACCTTAAATGATCATAAGATGGAAAACAATTGTTTTCTTTATTTTGTCAAAACTTTTTCCAGGCCTTCTTCCCCCTTGTTTTGGCTTTTAATGCAAATGGATGGCCAAGATTTGTAATCTCAAATCCTTTAATTTGATTGATGGCACATTGATTTTGAAAGTGACTTTTTTTCTTAAAATTAAATAAAATAAATGTGGTTTAGAAAGTTGAAACCATGTGGACCAATGTGGACCAAGTTGAAACTGTATACTTAAATTACTATTATTGATTTGATCTTTTTTATATTTTTATAAAGAGATAATTTAAGTCTTTTTTTTTATAGAAACGCTTTAAATAATTTTTTTATAAATTAAAAAATATTTGCTAAATATTTCATTTATAAAACAAAATAAAAAAATCATTTAAGGTGTTTTTGCATTGAAACATTTTAAATAATCCATTTATTAAAGTATAAAAAGATTATTTAAGATATTTTCTATACAAAAACGTCTTAAATAATTTTTTATATTTTTATAATAAGAATATTTTTATATAATAAAAGAGATTATGATAATTATATAAGAATTAATATACATGAATTTTCTCCGATCAAACGAATGAATCTAAACATAGAATGCCTTGTAAATGAAAAAAAATCCTGAATATCACATTTTTTCCTAAATTTCAAGATTTCGCATACCAGACACTCCCTTAATTGTTTGATTTTACTAATGCAAGGTAATTTAAATAATGTTTCATTATATTTTAAAGACTTTTTAATTCAACTTCTTTTACATATCATCATAGATAAAGGTGAAATAACTTTTAAGAACAATAACATTTATAGCAAACCTTGAAGCCATTCTATTTAACATTGAAAATTCCATTTTGTTCAACCAAGTTTCAAAAGAGAAAACTACAAGAAGATTATCTACAAGTACATATAATTTGATATTATTTAAGCCTTGTATTTTTTAACATTTTGATAACAGTTTTTCTTTTTTTTTTTTTTGGACCATTAAAAAATACTCAATTTTTTATTAAAATTCTTTTTTAATGATGCTCTTTTGGTTTTTGAAGAATGTAATAAGCTATTTACCATATTTTAATTTTTCCCCTTAATTATTCTATTTGTTTTCTAAATGACAATAATTGATGCTAATTGATGAAGTGCATAATTTACTATTGAAGCAATAAATATAAATATAAAAATACATAATTTACTATGAAAAATATCATGACCACATAAAATTTTTAATTTGACTGCAAAATCAGATCCAATTGAGTATTTAAACTATAATTTAACCTAGATATCATTCAAATTTATCTTGATTTATTTACTAATGAAACTTTTAACATGAAATTATGCATTTTTGTTCTAGATTATGGTGAATAAGGAAAAATATTAAAATTAATATAAAGAGAAAATATAAATGAATTAAGTTATGATCATTATGATTGTATGATTATATATAATAGATAAATAAAAATATGTATATTCTTTTATTAAGATAATATCAAATTAAAATGAATTAAAAAATATAATTATGAAAAATGCAACAAAAAAGCTAGTAACTTATATTTTACATATTCTTCATTTTAATAAATTGAAATTTAAAGGAAGGAAAAAGAAAATAGTAAAAACAAAAAAAAATGAAAATGAAAATGAAAATAAAAATAAAAATAAAAACCTAAAAATAAGCCCAAAAAGGAGGAGCTGAAATTAAGCCCACAACTACCTCTAAGGCCAAAAAGAAAACGGTGTCGTATCCATCTAGGGTTTGTCAAAGCCTCCCCAGTTAGATCTATAAATAATAGCCAAATCCCAAAACCCTTCTCACCGTTCCATTTTAACTCTTCTTCGCATTTAGGGTTTCTGGCGGACTCAATTCCTCTTCCAAATCTGGGTTAGGGTTTCTACTTTCATTTTTTTTTTTGAAAATTTCGCATTTTTCATCGATCAATTGATGAGAAAACCAAAACTGCAACAATATGATTGGATTTATTCCATGATTACTTGTATTTAAGTCTCTGATGATCATTCTTATCTATTTTTTTCTTGAAATTTCTTCAAAAAATTCTCTTTTTTCTTTTAACGTATTAAATTTCTTCAATTTTGAGAAATGATGAGGTTTTATTTGGTCCGTGTTTCTGATTCAACCGTGACCGACAATTTTTTTTACCAAACTCTGATCTCAAAAGTTCCATCAAATTTTACTTTTATTTATTTTTTTATAATTTTTTTCAAAATTTTTTTTACGAAGTTTTAATCTTTTATTGAATTAGCTCTGTGATTACTTAGCCCAATTTGGGCAATATACGCTATTCCGATATGCATAAAAAAATGAGCTGAAAACTTTTGAGAGAAACAATGAGAGCTGATTGTTTTTGTTTTAAAGAATTAATTTAATTTTTAATTTGTTGAGAAATTAATTGTTTTTTTAATCTTCTGCTGTGATGAATTATGAAAAGAATTCGCATGTCAGACTTCAGAGATTTTTTCAAAAAATCTATGAGAAGAAAATTCATGTCTTCTGAGCAGAAGTTTGATTTGTTTTTAATAATTTTTTTATAAAAATTTTACGATATGTTTTTAAAATATATTTAATTATTTTATTTCTCAATGCAAGAACTGAGATTGAGTTAAACTCTTGTTTGAAAAATTGGATTAAAGCTGCCTATGCAAGATGAATTTAAACA